CCACGCACTCTCTCTCGAGATGACCGAAGATGCATAAGCTGCTGCGATCTCGCCAGAAGAGTGGCCGATGACGGCATGCGGTGCTACTGACCAGCTGTGGAGAAGGTCGACGAGAGCAACCTGCAGAGCGGTCACCGTCGGGTGGCTTAAAGCAGGAGTCTCAATGTTCAACTTCTCCGTGTTCATGGACAGCACATCTGCAGTGATGTTAGTCAAATGAATTTGTGAAGGAGAAGCTTTTAATATGTTACCTGTCAGTGACCAAGAGCACCCTAAGGTCTGGAGATACGCATTGGCAGCCTCAATACTTTCCCTGAACACCGCGTATCTCAGAAGCTCGCGTCCCATACCGAGCCATTGTGCGCCTTGTCCAGTGAAAACAAGTCCAATCTCGATTTTGGTGTTCGATCGAGTCGGGTTCTCAAGCTCTCTCAAGCGCTCACAGAGACTTTCGCTATCATTCGCAACCACAGCTGCCCTCCAGTGGAAGTTGCTTCGCTTGGCTGCCAGCGTGTAGCTTAGATCATCGAGGTAAGCCTCATCAGAAGTTGACGATCGAGCTTCCAAATGACGCACATAGGAGTTTGCAACTCTCTTCACTCCAGCTTGATCAAATGCTGACAAGACGTAGAGCTGTGGTCTTATTTGAGACTGGTTTCTTGAAGTTGCTGGTTCAGTCTCCTCCGTCTCACAGAGAAGTGAGCGACGTGAAGTGGAATGTTGCGCTATCAGTCCGCGGCTTTCAAGATATGACCGGGCGTCTTCAAGAATGACATGCGCATTTGTTCCTGCAACCTGATATTAGTCGCTGATCCCAGGTGAATCGCTCATTGTCAGCAATAAACAATGACTCACCTCCTATACCAAAGCTGTTCAGAGAGATTCTTCGGGGTGTGTTGTCTGGCCAGGGTACGGCAGTCGTGGGAACTAAGAATAAGCTCTCATCCAGCTGTACTTGGGGGTTCCACTTTTCAAACCACAGGTTCTTGGGAATGATGCCACTCTCGAGGATGTAAACGGACTTCAGCAAGCCAGCAAGGCCTGCAGCGCCCTCAAGATGGCCCACGTTCGTCTTGACGGAACCGACATACATCGGATTTCCAGCAGAAAGGCGCTTGGAGAAGACTGAGTTAATAGCACTCATCTCGATAGGGTCTCCAACAGCAGTACCCGTGGCGTGTGCCTCGAAGTACCTGGTCGCGCCTGGATCGAGACCGGCTTCGGTGTACAGACGGTTCATGAGGCTCGACTGCGCTTCTGCAGTTGGCATCGTGACGCCGGGACTTTTGCCATCCTGGTTGCACCCAATATTTCTGATGATCCCGCGAATAGTGTTACCGTCTCTGATGGCATCGGATACTCTCTTAAGAATGACAACGGCGATACCCTCACCGCGGGCGTAGCCATTCGCCTTCTCATCAAAGCTGTAAGACTTTCCGTCTGGTGAGAGAACGCCGAGATTGCATAGGTGATTGGTCATGTCGGGGTTGTGAATGAGATTGCAACCCGTTACAATCGCCTTGCAAGTGTGTTAGAGCTTCTTGCAGCGTGCATTCACTTGAATTGGATTTAGTTCCAATAACTCACCATGGAAGACTCCTTGTTGTCCAAGCTCTGTGCCGCCAGGTGACAGGCTACAAGACTGCTCGAGCATGCGGTCTCAACTGTAAGACTCTGGGCCTTGAGGTTGTAGAACCAACTGATTCTGTTTGCAAGCATTGGGGCATTTAGTCCCAGTGGAGCATACTTGAGATGTTCCCTCTCAAGATCTTTCAACAGAATGCTTCTGTATTCATGGGTGAATGCACCAGAAAACACCGAGGTGTCGGTTCCACTGACACCCTGTAAAGAGATGCCAGCTAGTTATCCTTCAAGTCAGTAACGATCTAAGACGAAAGAAAAGTCGCCTGATGTTCGCGCAACTTACCATTTTCAAGAGCTCGATAGGTTCCTTCCAACAACATCCGCTGCTGAGGATCTAGACAATCTGCTTCCGTAGCCGTAAACGAGAAGAACGGTGCGTCAAATCTCGATACGTCTTCTTTCAGGAAATGGCCTGTTCGCACACTCATCTGATATGATGTTAACTGACATCTCTGTGCAGAAGAAAATTCCGAGCGTCTGAGTCAAGGAATTACTTACTGATCCTGCCCGAGAAGCATCCGGATGGTAAAACGAGTCTACATCATAACGATCCTTTGGAACTTCGCCATGGGCGGATCGTCCCTTGGCGAGAAGTTCTGCGAAGCCTGCAGGTGTACTAGCATCGCCAGGAAACATAAGATCAAAGCCGATAACGGCGATGGGCTCCTGGAGAACCATGATGGGCAGTTATCTGAGGAGCAGCCGAGATTGTGTGGTTGTGGGAGTGTGCTGGAAACCACAATGGAATGACAGCGATGATGACGGCCACGACAGTCGTCAGAGCGGAGAGTTCGATGGTGAAGAGTGACCTGCGGCTGGCGGTAAAACTGGATGAACAACTGGAGATCACTGCAGTGTTGTTGCCATTAAGAAATCGGACCGGCTTCAACCCGTCCAAGTCGAATGTCAACAAGCACTCCCGGACGTTAACCAGGGTGTAAAGGCTCAGTGACATTTGCCCGCGTTACCAAATCACCACGATGAACTCAAAGCTACGGGGGTACATTTACAGCAAATTGCTAGGATCTCCGAGACGATGCGAGGGGTTCTAAATTAAGTCTTCTCGGGTGAGGTGACACATCCCTTTCTCTCCAGGGTCCTGATCAACAAAACGCCACGCGGTCGCCGACCACAGCTTTGACGGGGAACAGATGCAACCGCAGCAAATATTAAACTGCAGGGATCATAATTCAATCGAAGACATCCTTCCAAGAGCTTCCCGGCAGCAGAGGCTTGACAACTAGGGTTTCAGGCAAAAGAGGAAGTCGTATCCATCTCTTGACTCAGCTACCGCGGGACAGATCCGTAAAGACTCTACTATGGTATAGAGACGAATAACATGCGTTCTCCAGACTGACTTTCACTACTAAGTAGAGTAGCAATCCGACTGAGCCGGGTGTGGCTTGATGTGGACAGGAAGTAAAATCACCGAACCCAGGTGTTCGGTATTTTGCCCATCAGATAAATGACGGGTGTAAGCCTATTAAAGTTTACCTCCCGGCTTCCGTATCCTAATCGGGTTTCTTAAGTGGTGTCCTCGTTCTCGGTAAATCCAGTCGACTTTCGAATTGGGAAGACCCACCAAGGCTTGCACATGCGGGTTACTGCAGTAATTCGCGAGACTTCGAATGAAAGCTGTCTCCATTAATCTATAAAGTAACATGCAAGTGCCTAGTGGATGTGTTGAGACACAATGACAGTCGGGGTTGAAGACTTGTGGGACCGGGACGAGTGCACGGGATGAGAAAGGTGGATATAAGACACGTATTTTGACGAACCTAGGTTCTGTAAACAGGCTTGAACTACCTTTTAGGCTCTATTCAACCAAGCAACCATGGCGTCCAATCCTTTGACCCTTCAGAAACGACGAATTAAATCAAGTTCGCCCGACAACGTTGCCCTGTACTTGATCCACGATGGAAGTGGAACAATAGCCAATTATACCAAGCTGGGCAATTTGGACTGTGATGTCTATGGCATGTAAGGACGAAAAGGAATTGAAAATCGTTATTGGGATACTGATATTGGTTGCAGTCAGGATCCGCATTTCGCATCGTCGCAGCCATGGGGTGGCGGCGTGGTGGAAATGGCGAAGCACTATGTCTCGCTCATTGAGAAGACAACTCCGCGGGGCAAAGTTGTTCTAGGAGGTGAGTTAATCTAGAACATACCGCGGTTCGGTATTCCACATGGTCCAAAACCAGCCCTAACCAACTCAATAGGATGGTCATTTGGCGGCTTGATAGCGTTTCAACTTGCGTACGAGTTGAGAAACCACGCCACGCTGCAGGTTCAAGGTGTGCTTCTCATGGAAGTGATCTACCCCTCCCTGGCCCAGGCCGAAGACGACGGAAGCGCGTGGCCAGGCCTCTCTGCCATCCGGAGCCCAGCAGTTCGGGAGAAGGTAACGAATTCCATAGTGCAAAGTGGAGCCATGATGAATGCTTGGAAACCGCCAACCTGGCAGCCGCCGGCGGCTTTACCGGCAGTCGTACTTCTCCGAGCGAAAGGCAAAGAAGTCTCCGAGAATCCACATGCATTGCGGTTCAATTCATTGAGAGACCAGCGTTTTCTTGGCTGGGAGGATTACCCGGACGACCTGATCACTAGGATGTTCGAAATTGAGGGGTCACATTTGACTCTTTTTGAGCAAGAACATGTGAGTTGGTTCTGAATGACGCCACTTGGGACAGGCTTTGACTAACGTTCTAGATCTATTCCCTGACGGCGACGACGAAGCTTGCTCTCCGGTTTTTCGAATCTGAGGCTGGGGCTTAATCAGACGTGCTGGATGGCGGGGCCGCCGGGGTGAGATGAATTGAGTTTGAAAACCACCGAAAAATAGAGTTTGGACCCCTTCGAAGTTCGGAGGCCGAATTTCTGGAGAACATGTGGGGAAAGGTGTGAGCGGGTTGACTGACTTTCATCCGGCATCCGGGATCATCAGGAGATGTGAGAAATCCACGGACCCTGAAGCTTGTCATAGAACACAAGGGGTTGAGCCTGCCCCTGGGCCCTAGCTAGAATATTCACACCATGATCCATTATTGTACAGAGCTCGGCTTCCCTCCACAATGCCGGGAGGCCGGGGAAAAGTATCATAAGGTTCTTGACTTGAGTCAGGTTGATATGTGTCATCCTAGGGGGGGGACGCGGTGTTGTCCCGTACCAGGATAGTTACTGTTCAGCTTGTTGTGCTCAATATCAGAGACGAACATCTGGAGAGCTTACGTATTGCTGGCATACATGAACTTTGCAACTCGACCAAGTTCCTATGAGGGATCACGAGCGTTAGGGAACAATCCATCCAGGCCGCAACCCTTCTCTTGCCTTTCGACAGTGCAAACATCGCCATCATGAGAAACATTGATCCGAACGGAAGCGGCACCGGGGCCTGTATGCCTGAACATGATCCTGTGGTGATATGTGGCATGGCAATGAGGCTTCCGGGTGGCGTCAGTAACTCGGAACAGTTCTGGGACCTCCTCATCAACAAGCGATGTGGATCGATACCTGTGCCAAAGAGCAGATTCAACGCCAAGGGCTACTACAGCGAGCATAAGCGTCCGGGAACAATTCAACTGAAGCAAGCGTACTTCATGGACCATGTTGGTCTCGATCGTTTTGATGCTTCTCACTTCCCTTTCAGCCGCAAAGAAGTTGAGAAAATGGACCCAGTCCAACGGATGCTTCTGGAAATAACCTGGGAGTGTCTCGAGAACGCCGGAGAAACAGATTGGCAAGGCAAGAATGTTGGCTGCTATGTTGGTTCATTCATGGAAGATTGGGGCACGGAAATGGATCGCGATACTCAACATTTCAGTACCTACCCGGCTGGCAAATGGGATATCATGTTGTCGAATCGCATTTCTTACGCCTATGACTTCCACGGACCCAGGTATGAACGCCTTTCTGCTTCCGAGGAAAGACGGCGAATGGCTGACATGTTCCATAGCATGACTGTAAGAACTGGTTGTTCAGCAACACTGGTGGCTCTCAACCTGGCCGAACAAGCTGTGAAAAGTGGCGAGTGTAGCTCAGCTATTGTCGCTGGTTGTAACATCTTCCTCTCAGCAGCGTCAGCAACAAAAGCTTCGTATGGCACTCTGGGGACGGTTCTTTCGCCAGATGGGATTTGCAAGACTTTCGATGCCGATTGCAACGGTTATGGCCGAGGCGAAGCTATCAATGCCGTTTACGTGAAAAGGCTCTCACATGCACTGCGAGATGGGAACCCCATTAGGGCCATCATCCGCTCTACTGCGACCCAGCACGACGGCAAGAAGCCGGGACTACTTAATCCCAACACATTTGCGCAAGAGGCCCTCATTCGACACACCTACAATATTGCTGGGATCACGGACTATTCCCAGACTTCATTCTTTGAATGCCATGGAACAGGGACGCCTACCGGAGACCCCACTGAGGTTTCTGCAGTGACAAGAGTCTTTGGCGAGAAAGGTGTTTTGATCGGCGGTGTAAGTGGCCTTTTACCCGAAGACAGCTGAGAATTTCCGGGAGTCTCTGACAAATCAACGACTATTTCAGGTAAAACCAAATACTGGACACAGTGAGGGAGCTGCAGCCCTTACTAGCATCATCAAGGTGGTCCTGATGCTCGAACGAGGGATCATCGCTCCCAACATCAACTTCAGCACACCGAATCCAGACAGTAAGTTATTCCCCGTATGTTATTAGCTACAACCATTAACACTTTCACAGTTCCATGGGCCGATGGAAGAATCAAGGTTCCCACAGAGTCTCAACCATTCCCCTCAGATCGCTGTAAGAGAGTCAGTGTCAATGCCTTCGGAATCGGAGGTACCAACGCACACGTGAGTATCTGGAACGATCAATCCCAGACGTGCTCCTAACTGTACTAGGCTATTCTGGAAGCATACGAAGGGAACAATGTTTCTAGGTCAGCTCTGACCTCCTCAAGAAAGAGTTCCCATCTGTTGCTCTTCTCAGCGTCGAACCCTCAATCTCTTCATATGCTTGAAGAAGCCTACAAGCAGCATGCATCTGAAAGACGTGCTAATCTTAATGACCTCGCTTACACGCTTGGTTGTCGACGAAGTTACCTCAACTACCGGTCGTTTTTGATTGCTCATGATGGCAGCGATGGACCACACTTCACGGAATCTGAATCTCTAGGATCAACTACAAGCACGAAAGCAAGAAGAACCGTATTTGTTTTCAATGGTCAAGGAGCTCAGTGGCCGACGATGGGAAAGACACTGATCGAGTCGAACTCGATTTTCCTGCAATGCATTCGGCGGCTGGACGTAGCACTTAGCCGCTTGCCTCGGCCACCATCGTGGAAGATTGAACGTGAGTATTTGTAGAATCGTCCAGATCCTGTTTGTTGACTAACACAATTAGATGAGCTCTCCAAGGCTGAAGGTGAAAGCCACTTGATGGAGTCCGAGTTTTCTTTGCCCTGCAGTACTGCCGTTCAAATTGGAATCACGGAGATACTACGCAGCTGGTCTATTCGGCCTGATGCAGTCTGTGGTCACTCGAGCGGTGAGATTGCAGGTGCATTTGCGGCTGGTGCTCTGACTGCAGACGAAGCGATTGTGGTCGCGTACTTTCGAGGCTACATCCCTAAGTCCATGGGCACAGCGCGGCAGGGAACCATGGCAGCCATTGGTCTTGGCTCACAGGATGTCTCCAAGTACTTGGAATCAGGGGCTTTTGTTGCCTGCGAGAACAGCCAAAATAGCACAACAATCTCAGGCGATATTGCCGCCATTGATATTGCCGTGGCTAAGGCCAAAGCAGATGGCGTCTTTGCTAGACAACTCACGGTTGATCGTGCCTACCACTCTCGTAAGTAACCATTCCGATGCACCAAAACCTGTGACGATAATAAATGAAATACAGCACACATGGAGGTCTATGGCAAGGCGTATGAAGAGGCTATACGCCCATTCATCAAGTCCAAGGCGCCAGAAGTTCCCTTTTTCTCAAGTGTCACAGAAGAACGTGTGACGGATGCAGGAGCATTGGATGCTGCCTACTGGCACCAAAGTCTCGTCCAACCTGTTCGCTTCAATGGGTCTTTAAGGCGTCTGCTACGAACATACGGCCAAGCCACGAACCCGGTGCTCATTGAGGTTGGCGCTCGCCCAGCTCTGAAAGGCCCCATCAAGCAGATCCTCGACGATTTTCCAAACATCAACGCTTCTTATGTACCAACATTGGAACATCACAGTGACGGAAACGAGAACATGCAAAGGGCGGCTGGCAGGCTGTTCTGCGAGAATGTGTCCTTCGATCACCGGGCGGTCACGCCCCCAGGCAAGCCTCTCACAGACGCGCCCACGTATACATGGGCCCATGATGAGTCTTTCCAAGAGGAGCATCGCATTTTCAAGGCCTACAGAGACTGTCAATTCCCTATGCACGATCTGCTAGGTCGACAGAACTTCGAGACCAGCGCCTTGGAACCAACGTGGCGCAAGGTATTGCAAGTCGAGGATCTTCCCTGGCTAGGAGACCACATGATCAACGGTCAGATTATCTTCCCCTTCGCAGCATATTTATCCATCGCGGAGGAAGCTCTGCGTCAAGTCACTGGCGGCGTTTTGGAAGCATTCTCGGCAAAAGACTTTTCAGTCACTTCAGCCTTACACCTGGAGCCTGGAAACCCGGCAGAGATTCACACTAGACTCCGACGTATCGATGAGTCTTCTTTCCACGTTCAGATCACTTCTTGGAAGAACGATGTCTGGACTGAGCACTGCAGTGCCGAAGTCAGTGCCGGACCATTCCCTCTCCGTCCTAGGCAGGGTATTAAGAAGAAGGAGTTCCCACGTCTTCTTTCTCCTCAATACTGGTACACTACTGTTCAGGACCGCGGCTTCACGTACGGTCCTACCTTCAGGGGCCTTGACAACATCAGTGTGAGCCCGTATTCCAGAGAGGCAACTGCCTGTGTGCATCCCATGGACGACCCATCGGACTATCTCATCCACCCCACTGCACTCGATCAATGCTTCCAGACGCTTGTCACAGCTGGCTGTCATGGTCAGCATCGGAAGGCCAAATATGTTTCAATGCCCAGTTCAGTGAAGGAGATCTTCATCTCAAGAGCTACGGGAAACTTTTGGGCGACAGCAACATCAAACTCTTCGCCACTTGGTGAGCTCTCTGGATCATTGCTCGCATACACGGATGATGGCAAAGAAGTCATGAGCATGAGTGGCGTCCAAGGAAGTCAGATTGCTACACAAGCCGGTACCGATGAGCTGCCTCTTCTCAGCCACGCTCGTTGGAATGCACATGCGAACTTCTACCCCTTTCATGAGCTACACGGCCAAGATTCTCTTGCAACTACGATTGACATTCTCAAGCTTACTAATCCCCAGCTGCGGGTGTTAGAAGTAGGCACTGGGTCAGACACGACAACGAGGGTTCTCCTTGAGCACTTGCGGCCGGAGAAAGGAAGGCAGTACTTCTCCAAGTACACGTACGCAACACTGAGCTCTACCGCATTGAGAGAAGCCGAGGAGGCATTTTCAGACATAGATGGCCTTGAAGTCGGATGTCTGAACCCTTTCAGTGATGATAAGCCTTTGGATCTCGAGTCTGGTTCCTACGATATTGTTATAAGCAACTCTGTAAGTGCATAGTGAACAACCGAAGATTATAATGCTGATTTCGGCAGCCCTTCGATTTGCTCGAAGATGCGAAGACTTTTCTCAATCGCTTCAAGGATCTTCTACGTCCTTCGGGACTCTTAGTCCTTCTGGATATCCCAAGACGTGCGTTCTTTCCCCCCAATGATCTGGCAGGTAGAGACTAATATTGCTACGTAGACGAAGGCAAAGTATCCGAGAGTCTTTTACTGGCGTGTAAAGAGGGTGGCTTCGACGTGACCAACGTGGAAGACAGACCCCTTGCCGCTGCTACGCTGATTCTGAGGTTGCCTGTGCCTGTTTTCTCTGACAACATTTGCATCGTTTCGCCTGAACAGCCGCATCAGCTCGTCGATCATTTCAGATCCGCTCTTAAGTCATCGTCAATTCCAACCCGAACATGTTTTAGCACCAAGGACATCCAGGCCGATGACGCTCTGGTTTTCTTCTGGGACATTGTCAAACCATACCTCTACAACATCACCGAAGAGCAATTCGCCCCGCTCATCGAGCTTCTGTCCGGACACAAGAAGCCAATCATCTGGGTCACGCCCCACTCCCAGACCTCTTGCACAAGCCCCGACTCAGCCATGATACATGGACTAGCTCGTACACTACGTTCAGAACTCAAGACTGATATCACCGTGGTTGAGTTGGACACATTGGTAGACAATCCCGGAAACCTTGCTCAATGTCTGCTACAAATCGTGAAGAGCTTGCCTTTGCGGCGCCTCAATGATGTCTTGAGCCCGGACTTTGAGTTTTTCATCAATAACGGTGCTGTTCAAGTACCTAGATTTGATTGGACCACGGCTCAGGCGGAGTTATCCCGATGCTCGTCACGCAGAGCTGCACAGTTCTTATCTAGGCTGTTGCCGAAGAAACCACGTCAAATCGACTCGTTGAACTGGATCAACTTCCCCTTGCAAGATCTTGAATCTGGCAGTGTCAGAGTTGAGGTCAAGGCATCTGCTATTTGGAAAGATGTGAGTCGAGCACAAGGATGCCTATGGTGCGTGAGCGATGGTTGCTGACCTTCGGAATAGGATGCCGATACAGTGAAGCGTATCGTCGATACCAGCAAGCTTTGCCTTGGGCATGAGGGAGCCGGAGTGATCACCGAAGTTGGTCGCGACGTCCAAGGCTTTCAGGTTGGAGACAGGGTTATGTTCCTTTCTAGCGGGGCCCTCACAAGTCACCTTGACATCTCGCCCACACGCTGTCTCCGACTGGAAGAGGAGACTTCCTTCGAAATTGCTTCCTCCTTGCCTTTTTCGTATGCAGCAGCCTTCTTGGCGGTTGTCGAGTTCGGAAGAATTCAAAAAGACGCTGTAGGATTTGCCTCTCTGACCCATTTTTGAATGGCTCATGCTAACCATGGGTTTTCAAGGTCGTCTTGTTGCACTTTGTTCAATCTCACCTGAGTCTCGCACTGGTGCAGATCCTGAAAAGTATCGGCGCAAAGGTAAGACCATACAGATTCTGTCATCAATGGGCTCTTAAGATCAGAAAGCTAATGTTATTCTAGATTCATGCCATCGTTGATTCAGAAACAGACCAATTGATCTTGAAGAATGATTACCAGGTGCCTCAGAGTTGCATCTTCACCAGCGGTGGCGAGCCAATCATGAACGGGTCAAAGGTGGACTATGTGCTGGGGCTGCCAGGCCATCAATCAGAGGACTTGTTGAAGTGCCTCTCATCAACGGGAACCTTCCTCGATATCTCTGATTCTCCCGCAACGAGAGGCCTACCCGAGACTTTGCGTTCTAGCCAAGCCTATCGTGTCGTCAACACTGCACTTCTTAGTGTTGAAGAACCCGAATTGATTGGAAGGTGCGAAGCCAATACTAACTCTGTATGTCTTGTGCTAGACAAAGGCTAACTAAGAATTTGCAGGGCATTCCAGGAGTGCAAATCCTACTTCTCCGAAAAGCCAAGGCTGAGCTGGACGACGCTCGTCTCAATCTTTGATGCAGACCACAGTCGTGAAGCATTCCAAGCTGCTTCTCGAGAGGGGTCCAGAGAATCCAAGGTCATCCTTCAGACGCCCGACCAGGACCAGCGCAAAAGGCTTGAGATGTCATCCTCTGCAACGGTACTCAGCTTCCGCTCAGATGCTGCTTATTTAATGGTCGGTGGTTTGGGAGGCTTGGGCCGTGCTGTGTCGACTTGGATGGTCGAGAATGGCGCCAAGGAATTGGTTTTCCTTTCACGCTCTTCAGGAGGGACGTCTGAGACGTCCAACTTTCTCGAGGAATTGCGAAGCCAGGGTTGTCTCGTAAAGGCTGTTGCTGGTAGCGTGACAAACCTGGACGACGTGTCACGCGCGATCAAATCAGCTACCAGGCCTATCGCCGGAGTCATTCAAATGTCAATGGTGTTGAGGGTACGTTCTTCACTCATGCAACTCACTGTATGGTACGTCACTAACAGCTTTCAGGACAACGCAACTACACGTATGACATTTACAGAATGGAGAGAGTGTGTCAGCCCTAAAGTCGACGGCACGCTGAACCTCCATAATGCACTGCTGCATCAGCAGCTAGACTTCTTCCTGCTCTTTTCGTCCATGAGTGGAATTACCGGACAGATTGGTCAAGCCAACTACAACGCCGCCAATGCGTATCTCGATGCTTTCGTCAAATTTCGCCACGGCCTTGGACTTCCAGCTTCAGTCATCGACATCGGTGTGATGGGCGGCATTGGAGTCGTTGCCCAGACAGATAACATGGAGCTCAGGGCAAAGGCAGCTGGCTACCATGTTCTCGGCGAGCAAGACCTGTTGGACTGCATGACAGCAAGCATTCTCCACTCTCAGCCCAACCCGGATGCGACCTCCGACATGAGTCAAATGGTCCTGGGGTTGTGGTCCCAGAAGCCGCTAGCTGATCCTTCGACCCACGTTCTGTGGAAGAGAGATGCTCGCATGGGTCTTGCATACAGTTTCAACAGCCAACGTGGCAGCAGCGCACAGGAACAAGCTGGCGAGGATAAGGTGGACGCCATTGTATTTCTCGCCAAGACCAACCCGGAGAAGCTGCAAGATGAGGCGACCATCGAGCTCATCGTCAAGCATATTGGAAATGCAATGTCAGAATTGCTTGCTCAACCAGACGCGGAAATTCTGCCCACCGCGTTGCTAGACGACATCGGCTTGGATTCCTTGAACGCTATCGAGCTCACCGGGTGGATTTCGCAGTACTTCTTCGTCGACTTGCCATTATTCGATTTGATTCACACGCCGACCTTATGGGATCTTGCAGTCAAGGTAGCTGAGTTGATGTATGAACAGTTCGGGCAACCAAGCAACTGAATCTTGGTGGATTGAGGATGTTTCCGACTTTCAAGTATTTCGATTCGAATAGGCATTTGTATCATTTTTTACTAGAAGTGGAATCTCCATGATGTCTTTGTCTCTCAAGTTCCCCGATCTTTCACCAGTGTCAATTGCTTTAAGAAACGTCATGGCCTCGGTTGATGAATGATGATATCCATTTCGAACGACGTAGATCTCCCTGTGCTGACATGCCGTCGCGGCCAGTCTCCAGATTACTGGTCTAATCGTCTGAGATCATTTTACCACGGCCATTATTCACTATGAAGTTTGGGCTCAATATGTAGGAAGATGTAGAATCACGACAATGCGCATTTGCATCAACTCTGTGCGTTTCCTCCAACCCCTGCCCTCCCAGGGGCTTATCTACCCACAAATAGGTCACGCTTCTGACCAACAATGTTCGTATCGTCTGCAGCACCAAATAGGCCAAATTACCCCATTATCTTCAGCGTAAGTTGTGAGATGTGATTGCCACGTCTCCTCACTTGACCTTCACTTTAATTTTTGCAGTCGTCGTGAATGCATGCTGAGGCCCAACGGCAGAATGCTACGTCGAGCGGCCGCCAAGCTGCAGTCGGGTGCCACCCTTGTGCAACACGACAATGCTGAGCGAATAGCATTGGAGATATTTCCATCATAATTGCCGTAGTCCGACCCAACCCTGAAGATCGGCATGTTCAGGGCCGCCAAATGGAAACGCGATACAACGCGCTGCTTACATCTCAGCGGACTTATTGCACCATGTTTCATCCCCATCAAGAGGGGACGTCCTCTTCAAAAGGGCCCTCTTCTCCTGGAAGAAATCTTTCGGCAATCTCCTGCGTTATCCTTTAGCAGACAACCTGTCATACGATCCTCACGATGGGTGCGCTTCCGATTTCATTGTTGGAAGCATCGCCTGCAAACCTGGCCTTGCTGGGGCTGTTTCTCTTTTCTTCCTGGTATATCAGCACATCTTTCTTTGCTTGGTACCGTCTTAGACATATTCCAGGTCCCTTCCTAGGGTCGTTTTCTTATCTTTGGATCATAAAAATCGCCCGAAGCGCCCGCCAGGAGAAGCTATACCGAACCATCAATGACGACTACAACAGCCGCCTGGTCCGCGTAGGCCCCAATGAGCTCCTCACTGACGACCCAGAGGTCTTGCGCCGTGCAAATGCTGTGCGTGGCGACTATGGCAAAGACGGCTGGTACATCTCCGCCCGCTTTAACCCTTACCAAGACACAATGATCACCGTATTGGACAAGACGCTTCATGATAAGATGAAGGCTAAGACAGCCGCCGGCTACGCGGGACGTGAGATCGATCTTTTGGAACCAAGCGTCGACGAGCAGATCACCAGTCTCATCACTCTCCTCAAGACAAGCTATGCAGACACCAACGTGTTAGTCGACATGGCTGAGTTGTCGGTCTTCCTGACCATGGACGTCATTACAAGTGCATCATTCGGAAAGCCCTTTGGCCATCTAAACGCGAACGCGGATGTCTTTGGCTTTATCGAAGATGTGAGAAAAAATTGGCCGGTAATCGCGCTTATGCTGGACGCTCCTATTCTCCGCAGCGTCATGTTCTCCAAGTGGTTCCTCAGTTTCAGTGGCCCGCGACCGACCGATAAGCGCGGGCTAGGCCAAATGATGGGGTGAGTTATTACCCAGTGTCGCATTCCGCCGGTCTTAGTAACTCAAATATCCCTAGAATTGCTGAGAAGCACGTCGGTGAAAGATTCAAAACCGGCTCAGAGCAACAGCGGGACATGTTGGTATGTGGTGTATGAGCAAGCCATCGCTACCATTTTTACTAATACGCGACAGGGATCTTGGATCAAGAACGGCATGAGTAGGGAAGAGTGCGAGGCAGAGGGTCTCTTTGCGTTGGTTGCTGGATCCGACACTACTGCATCTGTGATTAGAATCACACTCCTGCACTTGATGAGCAACGCCAGAGTTTATTCGAAGTTCAAAGATGTAATTCAGCAGGCAGTCAAGGCTGGTGTATCGACCCCTATCACGTACGACGAGGGCACCAAGATTCCTTACTTGAGGGTATGTGCCTCCTCTATCTGTCAATCTTCACCTCACATCTAACATACATCTCCGAATAATAGGCTTTGATCTACGAAGGAATTCGCATCCGAGCTCCCGCCACTGGACTTTACCCGAAGACGGTTCCTCCTCAGGGCGAAACGATTCACGGCGTATTTGTTCCTGGAGGCACCGCTATCTGTATGAATGCACCTGCGATGCTCAAGTCTCGCGCTATGTTTGGTGCAGATGCAGACCTTTTCCGGCCCGAGCGCTTTTTAGAGGTTGATGATGCCACCAGAGCTAGCTTGGAGCGTGAGGTGGAAATGGCATTCGGCTATGGGCGTTACATGTGCGCCGGAAAGCCTGTCGCTTTCATGGAGCTGTTCAAGACCTTTTTTGAGGTAAGCTACAATCTGCACGATCTATTTAACTCGAACGGTGCAGGAATACTAACTCCATCGTTTAGTTGATGCGCAACTTCGACTTTGAGCTTGCGAACCCTGTCAAGCCGTGGGACTCGTACAGCTACAACGTTTTCGTGGAAGAGAACATGTGGGTTAAGGTCACTTCAGCCAAGGTCGAGTAAGGTCTTGCATTCGATGTCAATTCTCAGTTCTATCACAAAATAGGCACATATCATATCGCACATTACTAGCAACTTCCAATGACTAGAAAGCGCTACGTCGTTCTACAGATAGACTTGGAGAATTCCAAGATAAGGATGCCATGCGTTTACTTGATGTGTGTTGACGTTATGCTGTAATACATAACGATCCAATTTTATTGTTTGTCAACCCATTCGGAGTTACTACATTGGCAATTACCCCATGGAGGCAACCGAGACGACATTTGTGGACAGGTATTGCTGCTGAACTACACTGCAGCATAGGGCACATAGCCAATCATGTTAAAACAAAGCAAATAAAGCCCACCTGAAGCCGACGGGATGACGATTCTCAGATTGTCGTGATAGGGTGGATTGAGATTTGACTCTTAGTATGACGTTAAATCAAACCACCTAGGGCATGGCTTGACAAATCTTAGTTTGCTGCTTCTTTTTAGCGGAAGCCGTGGAATGCGCGGTCTAAGATGGGCTGGTCTTTGCTGCGACTAGTACGTCGTCCACCCATTGCACGGTACGCGGAATTCATATCCCGAGCTACCTTTGTCAGCTATAACGTAGTTGATTTGCGAAGTATCACCTATAAATGTCAGGAGGAAAGTTCTAAATACTTCTCATCAATTCATATTATCAAGTCACATCAGGAAAAATCACTTCGAAACACACAAGTATGGCGCATGCACTCATTCTTGGAGCCTCCGGCATTTCTGGCTGGTCTCTCGTGAACCAAGCTCGGACCTATCCTACACCTACAACGTTCAACCGCATCACCGGAACGACGAACCGTCCTCTCAGCCTACAACAGGCGCAGCTACCGGAAGATAAGCGTCTTTCAATTGTCTCCGGAATCGATCTTACGAAGCCGGTAGAGGAGGTCGCCGACTCTCTGAAAGAAAAGATTCAAGACATCGACAGTGTCTCTCACGTGTTTTTCACAGGTTAGTTGTGGCGTCCTGAAAGCCACCTATTTTGAAGTGCAGAGACTGACATTAATGCAGCGTACATACAGACGGCCGACTTTCAAAGTTTGAAGGAAAAGAATACGAGTCTCTTGGAAACCGCTGTAAGAGCCATTGAGCAAGTCTCGCCCAAGCTGCAGGCTATTATTCTTCAAACAGGAGGGAAGGGGTAAGTGTTCCAGTATCTGTTGCTTTAGGCCATGTTGCTCAGTCTCGCCATGAACAGCTACGGTCTTGAGTTTTCTAAGGAACTTGAGATCAAGGCCCCACTTCGTGAGGACTATCCCCGAATCCCCGAACCGTGGGCAAGCAACATCTTCTACTACACTCAATACGACACGCTCAAATCGCTCTCCAAGGGAAAACCTTGGACATTCACTGAGATCCGCCCCGATGGCATCGTGGGCTTCACCCCTACCCCGAACCCGATGAACATGGCTCAAGGTATCGGCCTCTACCTGTGCATCTACCGAGCAGTCAAAGGCGCAGGGGCGAGTGTCCCCTTTCCGGGTTACGAGCACGGGTACCATTCAACACACTCCGATACCTTCCAGGATATCCTTTCGAAGATGGAAATCTACGCAGCTCTGAACCCGGAGAAGTGTGGCAACGGCGCCGTGTTCAACATGGCAGACGGCAAGACAGTATCGTGGTCTCAGGTCTGGCCTGGACTCTGCGCCCACTTCGGACTCACTGGAGAGGGACCTGGAGCTAATTCAGTCAAGATGGAGGACTTCGTGAAGGAGCATAGAGATGTGTGGACAGCGTTGGCCAAGGAACACGGCCTCGATGAGCAGCTCATTGACAAGCAAGGCTGGGCGCATACCCATTTCATGCTGGTCGACTTTGACTTTGATCGGCAGTATGATTTGTCCCGGTCTCGAGAGGTTGGGTTTGCGGAAGAGATTGACACAGTCGATGGATACGTTGTCTCTTGGGAACGAATGCGCGCTGCTAAGCAGCTTCCTCCTCTGAAGTAGCGTGTGATACTCACCGAACTCATCATGGTGCACAAAGCTATTTACTCTTCAAATCGAACGCTCTCTAGAATACTTTAATCTGCAGTTGTACGTACGCACTGTTGTGACTACCACGGAGATTCTCTTCGTGATGAACTAAAGACATCATTTCACGTGCTCGCCATTATCAAAACTTCGAAGGACTGGCCTTGACTCATGAAGAACTTGCTGAATCGATGTAGCCACCTTTCACGCAGAAACAGAAGCTCGAAAGGTAAGTACCTCATCTATTTCAAGATCCGTTACCCAACAAAGACCATACATGCCACCAAAGCAAGCCCCGAAAATTCAAATATGCTCTGCTTGCGATCTCCTGAATTGGTCGCCGAAGGCACATCGGCAAGGGCACTGGTTGTTGCGGCGGATCCTGTGGTTTGACTCGCTGACGATCCGGTCTGAGATGCAAATCCGCTGTTGACTTCCACGCAAGTATTTGGTGCCCATATTGCAGCAGCTGAATAAAGTAAGAACAATTACCATCAGGATAGTGACTTTAATCAACCACTTACGTCCGATGTCTCCAAAATCACATCCAGAGGTAACGATGCAACCGGCCATTTTCGCAGAGAGGGATTCGGATCGAGTGCACAAACAATTGAGATCAGAAGAAGAACAACTAAGCTCCTTTGCAATGGATGCTAAGCAGTCATTGCCGCAAGCTGGCAGTTCTTCACTAGCCAGCACAGTACTTGCGCTGGCCAGAATGAGTGCGACTGCACCAATCTTCATCATGAGATTTCCCCCAAAGGTCAGATTATTGAACAAGTGAGGAATGATTAATGGTATGGTTTCAATAAAAAAACCGCACAAATTCGAACGGTATTTATGGGAGAAACCCTTGCAGAAGAAGGTCGACGATCATGCTGACAAGACACCTACAGTCAGCGGGACAAGTAGCGTTGCGGTTGGAATTCCCGGAGCTGTGAGGACCCGCGTATACGCCAAAGGAACGATATACGACTACTTCCAGTTCTGTCTGTTCATTGCTATGGAAATCACAATCGTGTTGTTGCAATTTTCCAGCCTCATCATATACGCGTATAGCGCCGTGGTCGTAGCACTGCCTCAACTCGCGGCTGGATCATCGAACAAGGGCGACAGATGATCCCACAATCAATTCCACGTCAAGTAGATATCTCCGAAATCCAGGACTGCAGCCGCTGCCAAAGCATGATAACTGACTTCGACTCAACGATCGGTGCGGATTTTATCATGAATCAAGCCTGGGCCCACCGCGCGCTTTCCGAGAATCTCAGAATTCCGAAGTCCGTGCACACGGGGTGCCTGGGCCTGTCGTTCATTGGGCATCCATCCGTGCGCCACACACGGCAATTAAGGTTCTTATGTAATCTTCCCAAGCTTCGGGGATCTTGGAATGTGACGTGCAGGCAACCGATCCACGGTAACGGCCCGCCCCTTTCCGTACGGATACAACACTAGTCACGAAGCAAATGGTGGGTTTCACAGGTAAGCTTGTCCAGCTGTGAAGGAGTACGCCGTTGAGAAACTGCATTAACTTTTGCTCGCTCGCATAGACTTTCCGAGAAACCGCAAACGGTCGCGGGGCAGGTCGCGTTCCAACCGCCCCGCGAAGCGCCAGCGACAACAAGCCCCTCCCGCCGAGTACATCGCCATCGACGACGACGATGGGCCGACGAACGCAACGCCCATCTACCAAAATAACCGAGCGATATCGCAACGATCGCATGATGCCTCCCAGCCTCGAGGCAATGGACAATCATCTGCGCATTCCTCCAAAGATCCGATCCAAGCCGAGGTAAATCGCCTGCTGGCCGAATACACACGGGGCATCCCTCCCAACTTGTACGCTTCGGGGAGGAAAAAGGCATACTATATCGTCTGGAAAGGAAATCAATGCGGTATTTTTACGAGCTGGGCAGATTGTCAGGCTCAAACCAAAGGGGTTTCAAAAGCTGGCTGTAGGTAGCAACCTGGTCGGGATGGGCTTCACTTTCCGGAGGAATTTCACTGACAGGATTCACCAAAGTCGTGGGCACAAAGACTTTTTCTGAGGCCGTAAGGGATCCCTTTCCCGAAGTGGAATTACTTGAAGCTAATGCACTGTAGGTTAGCAGGCTCCGACGAGAGCTTACGAATCAATTGCGACAAGCAGCTCCTGAGAGGCGGGAGTATAGTATGACAGAACTCACGAGACAAATGCCACAAGCAACAGCTCCTTTGAGGCAGGAATATGTTGCCCCACCGCCATACTCTGCGATGGCTTTTGATAACGCGTCTGTTCCTCCCTTGCCTGTCAATGCTTCATACTGCCCACCTATCATCCCCCATGCTCCCGTTTCTAGCCGTCCCGCCGTGCCTTTGCCTGATAATTCTCAAAATAACCTATCCATCCCCTATCCCCCCGCCCATAACGGTTCTCATTTCCTCCCACTTGCTTCAAACGCCCCGCTGGCGACAGCGACCGAGAGATTCGAACCGACGGTCACCGAGGCACCGATCGAGAAAGAGGTTCAACCTTGCCCACCTCCTCAATACGCTGCTACGCCAGCTACCGCTTCTGATACCACCTCTCAACCTCTTGGCTCGGACAACAGATATACTGCGTCGCCTGCCAATGCTGCATCTGCCGACGCAGGTCTAAGCAATTTAACGAATGACGAAATTAAGATTCTGAAAGCGGAACAAGTTGAACACAATCTAGCGGCACCTCCAGAAAGACCTACAGAACCTCCGCTTTGCGCGGAACAACAACATGCTATGGACCTGGCCATGCAAGGTCACAATGTGTTCATCACTGGGTATGTTTGACCGAGCCAGGTCTCATCTCGGCCTTTCGCTGACAAGGTCACTGTAGATCAGGCGGATGCAGCAAATCAGTTCTGGTCAAAGCACTACACAGAGCTTTCAGCGCTTTACTTCAAGGATCTGGAAAGACAGTGAATCTCATCGCTCCCACTGGACAGGCCGCTCTCAATATTGAAGGCAGAACAACTTATAACTATGCTGGTTGGACGCCGGACGATTTGAAAAAGCCACTACACAGCCAAGATCCTAACACTTACAGCCTCATAAGAAAGGCACAAGGTAAAAAGATATTCAAACGGTACACGGGAACTCAGGTTCTCATCATCGATGAGATCAGCATGATAGAAAATCAGTTCTTTGAGCGACTTAGTCGTGTCATGAGCGCCACCCGAAAAGACACCAGGCCTTTTGGAGGTGTTCAGATGATTGTCGTTGGGGACTTTTGCCAGCTGCCGCCGGTGGATCCCTTCCAGTGGTGTATGGCATGCGGCAGGGGAATGAGAAAGATTGGTGCCTCGCGCGTCTGCCCTGATGGGCATGGTGTCGAGTTCGAGGCTGAGGACAAATGGGCATTCAAATCTCCGGAATGGGCAAGGTGTAACTTCAAAACTGTACACCTAACCAAGATTCACCGACAGCAAGACGAAGCGTTCATTGGGGTTCTCCAAAAGTGCCGATTAGGCCGGTTCCTCGAAACAGACGACGTGAACCTTCTTCTGAATCACGAAAGTGAAACCGAGAACGCAACTGAGCTGAAATCCACCAAGGAAGAAGTTGCGAAGCGCAACAAGCAGAAATTTGACCTAATTCCGGGAAAGATTCGGAAGTACCAGGCTATTGACGCTGTCGAATGCGTCAAGGGAGAAACCTCACAACCACATCGGAACCTTGACGATCACCGTTACGCGCAAACTCTTGAACTGAAGGCCAACACGCCGGTTGTATTGCTTGCCAATGTATGTCACTACTCGAATTATGTGGACGCAGAGCCCGAGTCGCTAACGCGAGATGTCACAGATTGATCTAGATAGGGGTCTTTGCAACGGAAGGCAGGGCACTGTCATTGGCTTCGTACCAGGTTCCGAGGTTAGAAGACCTGAGCCGCCAAATAGAGGAAACTTCGAGCATGATGACGACGCCTATAAGGCTGCCGAGATAAGACACTCAAATATCGTATCTTTTCTGGATCGCGCGAATAGAGTTGGTGACAAGTGTAAGTCTACAATTTACTACCTAGCAACAAGAGGCATGTGCTTTTGTTGATCTTGTTATATTGACCGAATTCAGTTCCTCTAGTGCACTTTGCACATGGTGTACGCTGCGTCGTCGGACCTGATTGCTGCGTCATCGGATTTGGGGACGCGTCACCTTACAGCCATCTCTCGCGATGCCAGATACCTCTCGCACAAGGATGGGCTATGACCATCCACAAAAGCCAGAGCCTGTCCCTTGACCGTGTTACAGTCGATCTAGCAAAGATCTTCGAGCACGGGCAAGCATACGTCGCGTTAAGCCGAGCTCGGTCTCTCCGCGGCCTTAAAATCGAGAGAGCTACAGCCGCGCAACTGAGATCGACTTTCCGAGTAGATTACGCAGTAGAGCAATTCATGGAAACGTTTGACGCCGCAGACATCGAAGACAATCCCGCAGCCGCTCAGGAAGAGGATGAGAGCTCCGGCGAAGAGGAAGAAGTGAGCGAAATATCCCAGGAAGAGTTTGTGAGTTCCTATCGAGAAGAGGGACCGCTGAGGCAAGTTCCATTCTTTTTCGATGTGGAGGGCTCCGCTCGATGAGTAGCGTTGAGCTTGTATGGTAAATTGATTGGTAGCCTCAAAGGACGAAACAGTACTTTACTAGGAAGGAACATCCAATCCTACTCTTAGATGCGCTTCCCTTGCTTAGACGCCACTTGGCTGCTCAACTTCTCAATTGGCCATCGTCCTGGTATCTCCACTTGCTCACACAGACATGCTTCCCAGCTTTATTGGCGCTACGGGTCGTTGCGTAAACACCCAAAAGTGCTCCTAGACATTTGTATCGATTAGTCGAAGAACTATTTCAAGTCGGGAACCTAAACTTGCCTGTGAAAATCGGCCGGATGAGTGAAGCGGGAGCATATGCGACTGTCATCAGTTTGGACTGATGAGCTGCCGGCCCAGCAGAGAACGCGTAGTGAGATGCGTTGAAGGCTTTTATTTCCAGACTCAGCATCTGATCTCTCCACTCTTCGGAAACGACCAGCGATGAGGACTTGATCAGCATGCCATTGGAAGCTCCTTGAAAACGCAGATGTGGAGCTGGAGAGCTGGTGACGTTTGTGCCGGTTGGTACCATCTGAACGACCCCCAGCTCTATGTGTGTCTTCTCGCTGACGAACACAGTCACACCGGCCTCGTCCCTCTCTGAACCAGGGGAAAATGCCAGGTCAACGCTGAATGTGAATAGACTGTGAGATTGTCGACGAGCCAGAAGGCTCAAGCCTTCGTCGCTTGCGTTTGCAACACCTGACGAAAGATTGCCGAAGGAAGGCCAAAGCTTAAGCCCACAACTTGGATCATCAGGCGAAAAGTTGAAGTTGCTTCCGTTGGGATATCGCCAGTGGACGAGATGCGAAGGCTTGAGATGTATCTCGGTGAAATCAATGGTATCTGTCCCCGCAACATCTTGACCGGCGATTGTCGTATTCCTTCCGAGATCATCAGATGGCAGCTCCCATCCAGACATAATCCCTTCAACCTGGGTTGGCGCAGGCCACTGACTTGGCTTCCAGGTCACTGGGAATAGAACCGTCTCGCGACCCATTGGAAAGACCCTGTTTTGTAGGTTGACGCGCATCGCGTGCGCTACGCCCCACCAGCTCCCACCAGCGTCCTGAAACAGATCGGCATGGCCAACAGCCTGGAAATATTCGGTCGAATTCGCGTTGGTAAGAATTGGGTTGTCTGGATTCGCCTCGTATGGGCCGTTGATACTCATAGCGCGGGCGATGGTGACCATATGGTTTAAGAAAGTCCCACCCTCCGCGATGATTAGATAGTAGAACCCGTCTTTCTTGTAGACATGGGGCCCTTCCGGTGCCGCGCCTCCGGTTCCATTCCAGACGTTGATCACCTTGCCCACACTGCCAGTGTTGAGATCGATCGTGGACTGGAATATCCCAGATCGTACCTCTGCCAAAGGTGCCCATGTCACGTAGACTTGGCCATCGTCGTCCCAGAAGAGGCTGCTATCGTACCCGTCTGCCTCAAAATGTAGAGGATCAGACCAGCTGGCTGAGTCATACGGATCGGTCGATGTGAGAATGAAGTTTCGCCAACGAGACGAATCGTTCACAGGCAAGTAATCGAGGACGAGAGTGGCCGTCAAGAAGAAGGTCCCATTGTTGTATCGAAGGGTCGGTGCCCAGATGCCCCCGACTTCTGTGATGGGGCTCGCAAATTCAGGTAGCTGGTCGTGTCGAGAGAACGCATGGCCGATGAGAGTCCAGCTTTGCAAGTCCTTACTTGCAGTGATTGGGATGCCAGGGAAAGCAACGAAGCTGGATGATGCGCAGAAGAAGGTCTCGTCGAATTCTTTTACAAAGATGCAGCTGGGGTCAGGATAGAACCCAGACAGAATGGGATTGAGAATGGTCGAGTTTAGCGCTGAAGTTGCATCAGCGAGATAGCTTAAAAACAGTGCAAGACGCAAGGGTAAATTCATTTTGGTATGAAGGCAATAATCATGCTAATCTTTTCATCTTCCATTGTCAAGGCTGCAACGTGATTTTATAGCAAGCCGTCGATCTTCAGGATACCAACTATTCCTTCAACGTGGACAAATTTTCGGGTTAGATTGCCCGATTCACCGACAAGCCTGGCATCGAAGATGCAGGTCATTGAAGCTAGACACGTAACTACCTGTTCGCTGGAATAAGCCGAATCACGACGGACATATACTTGCCGCAAGTTGTTTGCCCGCTGTACCTTTATGCGAAAGTCCTTATGAGACCGGTGAATAGCAAGAATTCAATTACGCGTATTGCCTTTACATTCCATGACACCTAAATCCAGCTGCTCACATAAGGCATCCTCTGCGAGTGAAAATGCTGAGTTTTGTGACTGATACAGATTGTCTGAAGCGTAAACTTTGAGTGTCATTAGACCCTTGAGTCTCCACGTTGATACGTCGATACGAAATAGCCAGCTTTACCCAGTGCTTAGTGTCAGCCAGGGTATGGCTCCAGCTCGAATACGCGGAGTGTGGCCATAGCCGAGGGTCCTCACTACGTCGGGTTTTTGTATCCCTTTTTGGCTAGGAAAGCAAGTCCTCGCTTATTGATAGTACGACATGCGAGGATCTACCCCAAAAACCAGGTGAATCGTGATATGGATGCTAATGTCCAGTTTGCCCTCTGCTAGTATTGTGACACTCCGGTTGCATGTCATGCGCTTATCCCTTGGCTTCTACTGGGTCGAAACACCGCACGAGCAAAAGGAAAATCATTCCGAATACAGTTCTACTTAAACATAATTATTTTGTACCTGTGCACTATGTACGTCTGTCGCGAGCTGAGCTCTAGGTTCTAGAATTGGCTGAGAACTTCAAGCTTACAAGGTATCTGGGCTGAAATTGCACGCAACAACTTGCCCATTACCAGTCCTCAACCAGGCCGCAGTTTGTACCACGTGTGTTCAGCAGGAACTGGCAATTGGCCGAGTTGTCCGGATCAGCGCGACCCTCGATATCTGTGTACCCAACCCAAAGAACTTCGGAGTCTTCCTCTTGATATTTAGGCCACAAAGGCTTCGCTGTTTTGTCGCCGTCGCCATTGGGGTCGTGGTTGAGAGCGAAGGAAATATAGTAGCCTCGCATGATCTTGGCCAAGGTGGCGTTTCCAGGAAAAGAGAAATCTCCTCCATTCGAGCCATCGGCTGTTCCAACAGTTAGCAATCCCTCTTCAAGATAGTTCTCGCGAAGTACGTTCTCGCGAAGTACTTACCATTCGTCACACTACTGTACAAATAATAATCCGTAGTTCCGTGAAACTGGTAGCCTGCGTCGAAGACGAGCTTGTAGGCCGGTTGACCATGCTTGACTACTGACCTAGCAATATGTCTGGTTGGGCAATTCACTAGAGCGTCGCCAATGATAGCGGACCGCTTCACGAAAGAGTCCGAAAGAGGGGATTCCAGAATCCCAGCCTCCCGAACCTCGGGGTAAATAGTCAAGGCGTCGAGGTGGGTTCGATTGTAAAGACTCGTAGGATAGAGCATCGATACAGTCTCAGCAAAGAAGCCGTCCGAGTCGTGCCATAGAGAGGTGAGATCAGACATAACCTCGCTTTCTGACGCCAGTGAGAAGTTGGTGAACAGGAATCCTTCGTCAAAGTTTCGATATGTCATGACGGGGACTTTCGTGAAATGCCCATTTCTAAATTGGCGAGCAGGATGGTCGGGGATGACGTGTCCATCGACCACCGGTCCCCAGTAAAATGTTCCGAATGCATAATCTTTGTGGTGATAGGCTGTTCTGAATGCAGTCTCTGTAGCTGAACGTATGCGGGAAAGTGAGGCGTCTCGCAAACACTTCAATGAAGAGCATCTAGCTGCCCTCAAGAATTCTCGATACTGTTGTTGCTGCCACCCGTTGTCGTATAGCGGGGTCCACCACGGAAACTCTGCCCCTGTTAGAGTGCGTGTACCTTTATGGAGGCGAAGTCCATCGTTGAACGGCACACTCACCTGGAATCGCTGCTTGAAATGGTGCTTCCTCTGATCCACCGTACATCACCATCTGCATAGTGACAGACCCCCCTCCCGCGCTACCCCCAGAGATAGTAACGCGGTTAGGATCGCCCCCAAATATGTGAATGTTGGATCGAATCCACTTGAGAGCCATTCTCTGGTCCAGGAGGCCAGCATTGGCTGTCCCATCCTTCTTAACATCGTTTCCGGATAGAAAGCCAAGCGGTCCTAGTCTGTATTGCAGTCCTACAAAGATCATTGTCCCATTCGACTGGCCGACAAGACTATCTCCAGTGCTTGCAATTTGACCACCAGAGATATAACCTGGAGTTTGAAGAGTATCAGCTGGAGCACTCGAAGACATGATTTTCTCCTGACTCACCTCCCCCATGTATGTATACGAGGACAGGCAGTCTCTGGTATTTAGGTATCATTGGTGTTTGTATGTTCAACAAAAGGCAGTCTTCGGATTCGTCTCCATTGTCTTGTCGCTTTCTTACCCGAGCAGCTGCTTTTGCGCCTTCCAAGCCCCAGTATGGACTGGACTGGACACACATAGGACCCGGCCGTATTCCGTCAATGAGTTGCAAAGGTGTGTCAACATCGTTGTTGTACTCAACCAGCACTGGTGCTCTCCACCTCCGATTTCCAGTTGGTGCTTGAGCATACCTGATGCCCATGAAAGTGTTGATCCTTTTCCGGCATGAGTATTTACTTACTTACGACTCGGGTAATGAGAAACTTAGTGAGGTAGCTTACATAGAAGTCTTGTTTTGCAGGCCAACGAACTTGACACCAGGACCCTCCACGGTTATTGAATCACCAAGAACCCCATGGCTGGCACAAAGAATTAGGGCCGAGAGCCTCAGAATGTGGACCATGATGGATAGGCCAAAGTTCATCAATGGTGGGTTCAAGAAATGTGAACGCCCAGGAAAGAAAGTAGGCAACGGCGGCTTATGGTGTTGAAGCCAAGATTTCTTGCACGAGTAAGCCTCAACGGTTGAGCGTCAAAGATGCCGGGAACCTGGGAGGGAATGACGGAAGAGGCCACCAGCGATTCCGGATTCAGTAGTCTTATGTACCGGAGACGAAGTACTGACGCCCACTACATGATGGCTGCGTTCCGAGCCCACGGCACACCGCATCCCCGTTGATTGCAACTGCTACTGCTCAGGTCCAGCCACCCGTCCGGATCAAACGTCACTAACAACCGATTGTTCGCGATCGTTTGAGACGAGTACCGATACTGCCGTTTGCCGATCTAGGCTCTTCCAGGTATCAATGGCTCGTCGGATTTTACATGCCTCGTAAGCTCTCACCGGCTTCGGCGGGGCGACAACGTTGGAACGTGGGCGGTGCGTGTAAGCTAGACTGAGACCAGACGCTGCAAGCCACCAGTGCAGCTAAACTGGGCTGCTTGCGGCGACACTGGAGTGAGTGCCTGAAGCATAGAGGCGTGCACATAAATCTCTGATTCTCTGGTAACCTTTCTTCTTTCCCTTTGATTCCGAATTAAAATGCCCGAGATTGTCATGCTCATTCCGCGATGACGTACTAGTCCATGTATGCCTCTGCGCAAGGCCCGCAGTGTGCGGTCAACTCATTTCTGTTGATTTGCCAACTTGGTTTCTTCTCCATCTAACAAATACGAAGTATCTCACACAATTTGACCCTGTCAAGCCTGATTGCCTGCACCGGATACTATTGCTAAACTGATCAATGTGGTAAGGTGATCCCGCCTTTCGGCCTCACCTGCCCCGACAGAAATTCCCGCGTATTTGGCGAATACGCGCTACTGCCGAGCACAACCATTAATGATAGTCGACATGAACGCCGTGTAACACCGTCACAGCTCATCAACTCAACAACGAAATCTGATTACGGTGGCTTTTTTCCCGCCGAGGGCGGCAATTGACAATGGCCATGGACTAGCTTCCGAGGAGACGAGGACTTGGGATCTGATTCAAGATTCCACATATTGCTTGGATTATCATTCAACCAATACAAGGTGTCGATTCATGTGTTCACTTTTGTCTGAGCCGCACATGAACAGGCATACCGTCCTTGGGGTGACCAATTCCGTCGCCGGCCACGTACAATCGCTGGCCTCTCACCATATCCTTCTGTCCCTTGATGCCGCTATTGGAGAGAGTTGTTAGCTGTGTGGCCCCAGTGTTCGTATACCAGAGAGTCAACTTACCGAGCAGCATCCCATTCATCCCATGCCTCCTCCACGTCGAACTTTCGGATGATGAGAGCGGCAACCAGCTTGATTTCAACCCAAGCAATCTCCTGTCCAATACAGTCTCGGGGACCCCTTGCAAAAGCTCTCCAAGCATCCTTGACAGGGTGCAACGGGTCCTCCGCAGGCACAAGGTAGCGCTCCGGGATGAACTTGTCCACGTCAGGCCACAACGAGGGGTCATGCTGCATGCCTGGTCCGCCATCCCACACCAGAAATCCTTCGGTAGGATACTGCCTGCCCTCTGCAGTCAAGAAGAATCCTGCTTCACCGCCTCTCATAGTCGACGCGAGCTGGTACAGGCGCAGACTTTCCTTGATGACGGCATGTGTGTAGCGCAGCGAACTCAGAAGCTGTGGTGATTGGCTGAGAATCTCGGCCGCTTGGTCAGGATCCATGCCCAAGACCTCATCATGTTCCGCTCGAACCTTGGCCAAGCAGTCTGGATGATCTTGGAGCACCTTGAACATGAAACAAAGTGCGCTGGCTGTCGTCTCGTGGCCGGCGACGAGGAAGGTCTTGAGATTGCCCATAATAGTGTCCATCATCTCGGGGTCGGTGGCTGGATTGGTAACGCGACCGCCAGCTTCCTCTGCAAGGTGCATCAGCGCCAGGTTGAGGACCGTCTTCTTCTTGGCAGGCTTCAGCCCTGACTCAAGAGAGTGAATGATGCTGGGGTAGAGTTGGTTATAGACAATTTCATTATTGCGGTCAACGGCTCTGTTCTGCCACGGGAATAGATAACCAAAGCTGAAAGCTTGTCGGATGCCCATCAGCCTGAGCTGGTCCGCTAGAGCCACTCTAAGCGGACCTGCGGTCTTGTTCTTCTGCTCGTTCAAACGCTCATCCCTTTGAAGATTGTAAGTAAATCATGTTCCCACTGGGATTTTGAGAAATTAGGTCAGGTCTTACAAGACGGCTCGGACGATGATGTCGAAAGTCAGGGCTGTTGTCATGTTGCGGAGCTGGAACATAGGTCCCCAAGATCCGTTTGGACCAGCCCGTTGCTTCAGGTTGTCGGCGAACACCTTGATCTCCTCAATCAGTTCAGGAACGATCATCGACACATTTCTGGAACTGAATCCAGGATTGAACCATCCTCTCCACTTCTTCCACTCGTCGGCCTGCAGGGTGGCAATGTCCTTGCCCTTGGTCAGGGGATTCATGAAGTCAAGAGAGATTTGGTGCTTGTCGAGATTCTTCGTCTGGGTGAACTGGGCCGCAACCGTGTTCTTGTATGCGGCCACGATAGGCGCCTTGAGAACAGGCCACAGGTCGAGGTAGATAACAGGCGGGCAGTGGTCCATTTCGGGAAAGTATCTCTTGTAGTTGTTGATAATCCACGGGTGAAAGTTTCCAATGTTGATGTCTCCCGGATACTCCTTGCGGAACTCCATCATCACCTTCAGATGACCTGTGATCCAGGAATGGGGCAACATGGGCTACAATTTGAGGTCAGCCTACGTTGATACGATGATCGGAGACGATCTTCACTTACAATGCCCTGTGCCCTCACTTGCCTAAACTTCCTCCGAATAGTAAACGCTTTCCATAGAACCTTCAATACTAGAGTTCCAACAAAGACTGCGGCAAGCTTGAGGACCAGCGGCAAAAGCGCCGCTGGTGTCCACGTAATCGTGTAACCCATTTCTGCGAACACGTTCAAAGGGTATTTGAGGAGGAAGTTGCACGTAATTAATTGCGATGAGATGCCAGCTTAAAACGCTTCTTTTCGCACACGAGGTGCTTCCGTCACTGAGTTTTATAATCTATTCGGGTCAAGTGGGAGGAGTCGCAATGCGGGAGCTCCAGATGGGGAAGTATGTTTACATTTCCGTTCTTGATCACACCGAGGAGCTTAAGCTTCCAGGCGACAGGGTCACAGCTCCGAGTGCACCAAAATTTCGAGTCATTCATACCACTTTACACGACCAATTGAGAAGTGTTCATTCATACAAACCACTGCTATTATGGCGCAAATCATAGGCAGCACACATGTGCGGGGTTCTTGCCAGGTTGAAACGGGTACAGGGTGAAGATGGACGTGGATCGGAAATACCCGCCCATTTTCACCGTCACCCTGCGACGATTTAACCGAAAACCCAACTTGATACTGTCCATGCGGCCAGCATGAAGACCCTGAAAGATGCTGTTCCGAACTTTGTCTCGGTCGGTTGCAGACCCACGCCACCTTCTACCGCTTGCCGCGTCGTCGACCAGTGAAGGTTCGTAGAAACACACAAACTTTCAGACCTTGCAGCCGAACGGTGCGATATCTGCGGAGGCGCTTCAGCCTCCTCAGGAGAAAACATGTGACCAATGACTTGAGATGAGAGCAGTTCATCCAGTGCACGGAATGTGGTTGCACAACCTATCGATTACTGTATTACATGCCATCCAAATACAAATCCCCGTCTGCCTATCACACAGATTATTGACGAGTTCATCATGACCCGATGTCAATACTCGACATGAGTCCAGCTTCCCTCCAATTTGGGCACGCAGCATCAGCCAAGACAGCAGCCTGTTTGATTCCCAGAGACACTTTGATGCCATGTAGATGATCCGCAGCCCAAGACCGCACTGCGGCACTATTCATCTCCTCCTGCGACACGATGTACAGTGGCCAAATCATCGTCGACGCTCCTGCAAAGGGATTAGTTCAGGACAGGATTTTGTCGTTCGGGGTTGCCTACTCGGTGAACCAGAGAGATCTGTTGTTGATATGCAAATATCGGTCGACAGGTTTCGAATTGCGGAAAAGGCCTCAAACCGCATAGCCTCTTTCAAAGACTCATTATACGCGTTCTGCTGGTCAACATAGTTCAGAAGGATCTCATTGGCCAGGATACCCAACGACCTCCAATTATTCCAGACTTGCGCTCCCCAGACGCTCGTGTAGATGTGGCGCTTTCCGTTGAAATACGTTCCGGTGCGAGGTTCAATGACCTCAGTCACATAGTAAGCCCTGTGAGTCTGCAGCGCTGCCCAGGCCTGCAAGTCGCTTTTGATGTCGAGTATGATCTGACAGATCGCGTCGGGGTCCGTGATTCGCTGACTCTTGATATCTGCGCGGAGATTGACAATTCGGAAACCGATTAGAGCCAAAGACCCTGGACGATTATTCACGTAGCGCATGCCGAGTCTGCTAGACTCGAATTCTGTGGTCACCTCCACCAAAGCTGCGGGGACTCTTGCGCCCCGCTGAATACAGGCTTGTAGCTATGAAAGTCAGCCAATAGAGTCGAATATTATACGCCATCCAACTTACTATCTGATTCCTGAATTGCATGTAAAGTTGTATACCCAACTCACGAGAGAATTGCTCTTGGCCGCGAACTTGTAGCAGCGCTGTGGCTCCCTCGATGTGTGTCGCCCAAGTCTGGTAATCTCTCCAGTTTTCAAAAGTGACGGTCTGTCTTGACGTTAGTTCATGCTAAACATCAACGTCAACTCCGTTGATGATGGATACGTACCTCAAAGAGCCCCAGCAGAAGGATCGCCATGAGAGTTGAGTCCGCTGCAACAAGGGTCGGATCTCGTAAGGCCAAGTTGGTAGCGTTCAAGGCTTGACAATATCGTTCTTTGGCCTGAATAATCACATCTGGAGCATTGTGCACGTTGGATATCGCCGCCATTCCCACGGCTTGCACAGCCGCTCGGACAACATTGCTAGGGATGTCTTCCAGATATGTCTGCGCCAACCACTTCTGATATGTATCGGCAAATGGCGGTCCAGTTGTCGTGTAATATGCGAAAAAGAAGTTGGCTGCGCGGTCTTCTAGTGTCTGGCCCAAGCCCGTAGATATCGTGCCGGAAGAGATGGCCGTCCGGACGAAGTCGGTTAGTCCTACGTCTGTACCTGTGCAGACATCGTGTAATTGGATGTCAAGGAGAGTTTCATCTCTCTCCGGCTCGGGACTTTTGTGAAATCTGTTCTTGATTCTTTGACGTTCGTCGCGAAAGAGAACATCTGTTAGATCCCGATAGCCGGGACATTGCGTCTTGCCCTTCTCGCATTTGAGGCATCCCGGTCTTCGTTGGTCACACTATCCCGGTCAGTTCAACCAAACCTTACGCTGGGGAATAGTCGGGCTTAAGATAGCACATGCCTTGACTTTGCGTTTTCGACAGCGCTGGCATCCTTTGCTGAGGGCACCGTAGTAGACCATCATGCGTAGCAAGAAAAACAAGAAGGGATTGATCAATCCCGGAGTTTAGTCAGGGGTCAACAAAACCGACGGATTTCGGATTTTAAGCGAAATTTCCGGTCAGAAAGAAGCCCGTCTAGTCAGTCCACTAAGTGAACATATACTTCTGAAGGACAAATCAAGTGGCAATGAAAAAGTTTCGTTCACTTTTTGACGAAAGATCCTTCGCTCGCGTGTTATGGAAAATCTCCAGAGTGAGAATGTAAGCCCATGATTAAACGATGCAGGGGATTCAGCCCGACAAGGGAGCCGGGCGGGATCCGGGTGGCCGGCAGCGCATCGGCGGGGGGTTGTGGTCCCGACTCGCACTCTTGGCCTGAATCGGGATTAGCGGAAACGCCACAGGAGCAGCTCTGATTCGCTCCGGCTAGCTTGGTCATCCTTCTTTGGAAGGCCATTGGTGGGCCCAAGTTGGTCGTCTCTTGCCAATGATCATGGCAGACGCAGTGACCTCCCTTTCATCTGAGTTGACTTCAGCAGAAGCACATGGCAGTCGTTGGGATATAAAGACTGGCCGACGACATCCCAAATCATCGGACCTCCCTCAAACACATCAGAACCAAAAGAAATCATAATCGGACTTCTCCCAAGACCTTCTTTCCGATAACACGGCTAATACACCAACTCACAATGGCTGAAACCCTTATCACGCCCGCTCCAACCTCTGTGCCCCGGGAGAACACCTTCCGCAAGTACACCGCAGAGCAAGGCAAGGTCTACGCCAAGGGACGCCCGGTCTATGACGACTGTCTCTACGATATAATCATCGACCACCACAGATCCACTGGTGGCAAGCTTGACACCTTGCTTGACATCGGCACTGGCCCCGGAACCGTCGCCCGTGGCCTTGGCCCGCGCTTCAAAGAGGTCATCGGTCTCGACCCCGCTGCGGGCATGATTGCCGCCGCCCGGTCTTTTGGCGGCGTCTCTGGCAACTCAGAACCCATCCGTTTCGACGTGTCTACCGCCGAAGAACTTGGCTCGAACCTGTCTCCAGCGGTCGCGGATGGCGGCGTCGATCTTGTCACGGCTGCAACTGCGGCTCACTGGTTTGACATGCAAGGCTTCTGGGCCGCTGCAGCCCGTGTTCTGAAGCCCGGTGGCACCGTCGCCATTTGGAGTGGCAGTTCTATGTACATCCATCCTTCGGTGCCAAACCATGAGCACATCCAGGGTGTTCTAAATGAATTCCGAAACCAGCACTTGGTGCCTTACATGGTTCAAGGAAACCACATTGGCGAGACACTGTATGAGGATCTGCCTCTGCCCTGGACCGTGGAGAATCCGATACGCGAGTTCGATCAAAGCACATTTTATCGCAAGGAATGGAACAAAGATGGAATAGTTGACGAGGACGGGGAGTTCTTTCATCAACTGACTTGGAACATGGATGATGTGGAAAATATGATGATCACGGTGAGCCCTGTGACGCGTTGGCGTGAAGCCCACCCAGACCTGGTTGGCACGGACCGAGACGTGGTCAAGATGCTGCGGAAGCAGATCGAGACATTACTGCATGAGGCCGGTGTTGAGAAGGGCAAGGAGTCGATTATAACGGGATGGTCCGGAGCCCTGCTGATGGTGAAGAAGATTGCCTGAATTGCGCAGGCCAATGATCTGTGTGAATTCTGAGAGCATCGCAATTAATAGATTTTAATGAGTACTTTTGACGCAACGAAGTTTCATGGATGTGAGCAATCGGGCCCAAGTGATTTGTCGACATGTGCCATCAGCTCATGTGACCTGTAAGATTTCATGTTATTTGGATTAGAAGGAAACAATTGGTCATTACTCATAGAATCCAGTAGTGGCCTTCATTGTGGAAAGAGTGTTTGTCGACCGCCAACTGAGGTTTCGGGTCAGTGCTGAGACAGACAGATCCTCATAGCTGGTAGAACCTGGACACCTTAACAGACTTTGCATTTCCCTATTAGCTCTTTGTTCGTCTAGTAATGGTCTCTTGTATTCAATTCTCTTACCCCTTCCGTCTCTTAAGTATTAACACTCCAAGACGCAAATCCCTGGCATCTTCTTGACTCTCGCACCACACAGGAGTACTCACCAAGCTCTGTACGCCCCCGCAACTCTCTGACTCCTCGCCAGAGACGCCGTTCATTGTGTTTCTCTGTCAATTTCCAAATACTGCTTCTAAAATCCATTTCCAATTCCCTTTCCAATCCCTAACAAAAAAGATATCGCCGCAGTTCAGCACCATGGAGCCGCACAAAATCGACTGGGTAGGGGTCTTTCTTTTCTCTTACTGGAACCACAAGCGGGAACGACCTGAGGAGACCAAAGTTGTCGACGGTTTTATACTGGAGTTCTTCAAGAAAAGTCGGCCGCCGATGTTGCTGGGCGCCAAGTTTGAACCGGTCTCTTGGGGCGAAGCTCTGCTCGATCTCATGTGTCAGTTGAACGCCCAGTTCGGTAAGCATTTGCGTGAAGTATCACAGTTCCGATGGAAATTCTGATCAAAGCCTACAGGATGTGCACCCTTTGTTCCACGTGGAAACCGGCACTCCCCTTGGCTGCCAATCGACTTTTGCTCTTCTCTTCCGGGCAAGAGCGGCCCTTTTGTGAATTGGGTAGGCGTTGAAGCTTGCACCCAGATTCTGGACGACGGTGGTGACACCTCTCAAGTGATGGAGCAACTTCTTGAGCACATGACGTCTGTTTATGAGCTCCAAGGTATCAACACTCCTAACCTCACTGTATCAGAATATTGGTCCGGCAATATGCACCTTAAAGCTTTCGAGCGACGACATGACGTCCAGCCTTGGGGTGTCCCTGTTTCCTCTCCTGTAGAGGGCCCACGCCGGCTGTCGTGGCTTGTCCATGACACGGAGGTGATCTGCAGCGCACTGAAAGGGCCACTTATTCGCCGAATTCCAATCGATTTCGAACTTTCGGTTCACTCAAGTGGTGCAGTGCAGTTGGAGTTGTATCATCAATTCCCTAGCAGCGTCTGCCTTCTCGGTCTTTTCAAGCTACTCCATACGGTCATGCTTAAATGGGCAATGGACACGGGAGTGCCAAGACGTGACCTTTCGACTCTGGCAGGAAGGCTCATTAGCGAGCAAGAACGATGGTCCCATGGGCTGGTCACATCTGGAGGACATTTGATTGTAATGGAGGCGTGGTGGAGGGCTCTTCAAGACTTCAGTCTGGATAGAGTCAGACTCTTGGACACTAGTGTCACGCAAAAGCTCAGTTCAGGTTAGGCTCGTATATAAGGCATACCTACATGTACATGCTTGTTGTCGGTTTTTCAATTGGCATTGTCATTTTTATTTTGAGATATTCGTTTACTGAGGCCATCGCAGGAAAATGTTCATTGAATGACTGCTTACTCGGCCAGACCAGTAGTCTCAACTTTGATGTCATCGCGCGTATGGTACAAAATGCTCCTCCCTAATTTCTGAAGTTCACTCTGAATCTTCGTCCACCTCACAGAGATATGACAATTTCTTCTGCTTCTTTGAAATCTTGCTGTACATATCAATAACCGGCGCGTGCCTCTTCGCATGTGGTGTTAAAGGCAACAAAAGATGTTTGGTGTTAACAGAAGCAAGCGGTTTCAGGGCAGGTGTTTCATGCCCTAGATCTTTGAGTGCCTTCAATGCCTGCCAGAGCGCTCTAGACAGAGCAACCTGCCGGCCCGCAGCAAGATTAAGTGCATTTCGTCCACCTTGCATGTATGGTCTGATGCTGCACACTCGGCCTGAGACTCGTACCTCGCGAGCCCAACGGAGCATGCCTGTGAAGTAGTATCGCGCTTCGTTGACGGCGTTGCGGTCCAAGTCTCCGTTCCCGGTTGAGACGAGATGAGCAACGCCGAGGCTGTTGTCGAACACGATTCTAAAGGGCCAAGTTGATAGAATCTGATACGTATTGTCCTCTGGCCGCTTCTGCAGAGGAACAGCCCAGGGTAAGGGAAGATTGTAGGTGGCTTGAAAGTTGACAAGGTGGGGGTTTCGAGACCAAGCTTCCGCCATCGTCATTTTCAATCCGGGTTGGACCGAGGATCGACCATAGGCGCGGCTCTCGAGGTATCCCAGAACCCACGAGGATTTAGGCTCTGGCGCCATCTCGAAGCTTTCCATGTCCCAATCTGTGTCATTGAAGTCCATCCAATTCACGAAAGGTCTCTGCCTCGGCGACGGTGAGTGTTCGAGCCAAACGTATTTTCCTGCCTCCGATGGTTCGGAACCGAGACCTGATGAGTTAGTGAGTCACGGTAAACTTTCTCAGCGCTACTTGCCTCTGTCATAAACCGTAGCCCGCATGAGGTGCCACAAAAGATGGTCCCACGATCTCGGATGATCGATGGTGTTAATTGGAAGTCGCTCTCGGCTGACAAAATCAGACACGAAGTCGTTGTAGGTGCCGGGCTCATACGATTCATCTTCGTCTCTAGCGCAGACATCCCAGAAGAACCAGCAGAAAGCCTCCTTCCAGTCGATGTCGTCAGCGTCGGTCATGTTGGCTGTTGGGCGTGTCTGTTCGTTTAGTGGTTGCTAAAGAAGGCTCGCGTTGATCTTGGGAGGAATTCGGCCAACTTAAGTAGACACTCGTGTTGAACGAAAGCATGAGAGAAATTATATAAGCAACTTAGAAAAGTGACATATAGACAAAGTAAACCATAGGTAACATTGAAGTAGTAAGCAGAGGTTCGAAGGGCACGGTAATGACGACAACGAGTTTAGATGTACGTATAATACACTCCACCCAGAGGCTTTCAACCTCAGCTGCTGTCAATGAGGCCTTCGAGAGAGTATAAAAGTAGATAGTTTGCTCATATCTAAGGAGCTTGTCAATTCACAAGGAGCTTTGGCGACTGATGACAGCCTGAGGCTCAACATAGCGACAAAGCAACTACACAAGATCGATTGAATGAGTTCCTTCAAGAACACTTATCGCCGCAACTTTTAATCAGTATCAAATCTCTACTTCGAGTATCTTCTACTTGGTGCGAACAGCAAATCTGCTTCTTCCCCTGAGTTTCTTGCCATATTTGAAGAACAGCCATGGAAAGGGCATCATGGCGACAGTCAAGAAAGCAAGAAGGCTGGTTGCCCACTCGTAACCCAGCTTCTCATACATCTGAACACCAAAAAGTGGGAAGGCAGCTGTGTTCAAGAAGATTTAGCATTTATACTTGGGTCAGACTTGATAACGCAACTGAATGTCTACATACCTGCGATTGTACATCTTGTGAGACCGTTTGAGGCCATCGCAGACGCGGCATACTGCTTGTAGGCATCGACCTTTTACATTTGGTTAGCAACTTTGTTGAAACCAGTACACTTTTGAGAAATCATCCACTTACGAGGAAGGTGAAAATTCCGGTAAATTCGAGAACGGTCCTACAAAATTCAAAATGTCAGTTGAAAATTTGCATTGCCTGGTGATCGGAGCACAAACCCGCAGCCAAATACAGATGACCCGATAATTGGCACTGTCCAGTGGATACCTGGCCGTGCCGTCCATCCATACCAGAAAAGACCAATTGGTATGAGTAATGCGCCAGCCATCGCTGGAGGTAGTCGGAACTCTGGCTCGCTCGTTCCATGGCTTTCCAGCAAGGAACCTCTGATTCTGGACCAGATTTGAGTCGTGGTGGCCGCCAAGCACATTCCAATAATGATGCCCGAGAATGTCAACCCGCCTTGCCAGAGATTCAAGTCGTACTGGTTGCGGAATACCATAGGGAAGGCGAGGAAGAATAGGTACAAAATTCCGAGCAGGATGGCTGAGAAGATGTTCAAGCAGAGACACATCGGCTCAAAGACAAGAAACTGGCAGGGGCGGACGATTGATGTTGCTACAGCTCTTGTTTTCGAAGCTGGCAGAGAATGTTCAGCCGATACATGATAACGGTCGTCTCTAGTCTCCTTCCGGAGTCTTTGCGTCTTTGCTCGTAACAAGACCGAATGGTAAGTTTCCGGAGCAAAGAAGAAAAGCATTGCCAAGATAAATGTAGCCCATATTATCATTATGTAGTACGTCCATCTGAAGTTGAGATAGTAGTTGATGAAACCTCCAAGGAGGGGACCGGTGCAAGGGCCTGCAAAAGGGGCCAAAGATACAAGAGCCATCGGTGTCTGGATCTTGTGAGGAGGGAACATATCACCGCAGCTACCCCCTGCAACTGAAAGAAACGTTCCGCCGAAAAAGCCGCTGAAGAATCGTGTGATGACAATCGTCTCGATGTTTTTGGCGACGGCTGACGGGATTGTCGATATGATGAACAGGAGCCATGTCGTAAGGTAGATTGGTCTTCTTCCGTAAGATTCGCTCAAAGGGCTGATGACTGCCGGCCCGAGACCGATCCCCAAAACAAAAGAAGAGAGGCCCAGGGTTGCTACCAAGGATGACACGCCAAACTCGGGGTTCATCTGAGTGTAGGTGGCCGTGTAAATCGAGCTGGTGCAGGTACTTGAGTGTGATGTCAGCAGCGAGAAACTCTGATTTTATTTAAATGCGCCGATGTGCTTACACGCAGACTGTTCCCAAGCAGACGATGATGACGACAAGCCATTTGCGACATAGGGGCATGCTGTGCGGACACCAGGGGTCGCTTTCATCGTCGAAAGACACCACGAAAGAACTCGAGTCGGTTCTCCTGGCTGGTTCCGGGTCAAGATCTGATGTCTTCGGTAACTTCGAGTTGTTTGGATTGTGTGGTTGCGCAGGAAGCTTTTCGCCCCCTTCATTGCCCTCAAGCCCCATGTTTCCGTAGCTGTAACTAAGTTGAAGGCATCTGAGAGTCCGTTGTGGTGAGAGTTACGTTTCAATTCCACATAAGGTCTGGCACCAATCAAACCTGACACAATCATCCAAGTAGAAAGGTTATTCGACAAGAACAGAAGAAAACGCCGATGCAGGGCGATTTCTTACTGTTAAAAGACTGGCAACTAGGTGACACTAGTCCTGGGTGATGTACGTCACAGAGTCTCCACTTATTGAGAGCCCGAGGTGACTTGGCGTGATGCTGGAGTCCCTAGGTCGGTCTTGCTTGCCATTAACTAGGTCGAAAGTCGCCGAGGTCGGATCAACTCTGAATCGCGAGCTCTCCTGACTATTGAAATACTTCCGAATAATTTTGATTGAGGCGCGCCGACTTATTTAGAAGCCGTCTCTGCGCTCATTCAACGAAGACTTGGTTGGTTTCAAGCACCTCGTACTTCCTTTTCGCAGAGACCGAAAAAGCATGGACCATGTCACCCAAGACGATCGCGTCCAGTGGGCAATCTCACAGCGCCATGTATCCCAAAGAGGCGCTTACAATTTCGCTCATCGCGACATATGGGGACCGCGGGAGAAGTCCATGGCCAACCCATGGTCACCGAGTAATCCCGATGGAACGTGGGTAGCATCTCAGGGCGCCTTGGTCTAGTCGAGCTAATTACGGGTGTAGAGTCATTTTGCGCCTAGCTGAGAACAGCCTAATGCACCAGGAAGTTGCCCAGTTCATCAAGGAAACCGTGAGAATCACTTGATGGTTTCTGTTCAGAAATCAAGCTGACCATCGAGAGCAGATCAATGTGCTTCCCTTGGATCATTTGACTTACAGCACAGGACCACGGGGATCGCTGCGCCTCCGTCGCACCCTTGCTACGTTCATGAACAAGGAATTTCACCCTCGAGATGCAGTCACGGCCAATGATCTCTTCATAACGCCTGGTTTGGCCAGCGGCTTAGATGCAGTGGCATGGTCAGTTTGTGACGAAGGCGAGGGCATATTGGTTCCGCAACCGTTCTACAACGGCTTCAGCTTTGATCTTCTGAATCGAAGCAACACACGAGTCATCGGCGTGTCTTATAAGGGCATGGAAGGATGCTCGAAACTTGAAGATATTTTCCGACCTGAAGTGAACAAATTGGCTCTTGAAGCGGCTCTGAACAAGGCTCGTGGGGAAGGTGTGAACGTCCGCGCATTGCTAATCTCAAAGTAAGTTGTCCACTTCTGGAGGGAATCAGTGGCGATACAGATCATGGCTTATCCTTTTTTTATCAAGCCCACATAATCCTCTGGGTAGATGCTATCCTCCAGAAACTCTACGGGAGTTCGCCTCTTTCTGTGGTAGAAATCGGCTACACTTCATTTCTGACGAGATCTACGCCAAATCTGTCTTCCCAAATCCAGCAATCTCAGGTCAAGATTCATTTGTTTCTGTCCTTTCACTCGACCTTCAAAATGTCATCGATGCAAACTTACTGCATGTCCTATACGGCGCAAGCAAAGACTTTTGCGCCAATGGCCTACGTCTAGGCATGGTGTACACGAAGAACGAGGCTATGCTAGGGGCGATGTCGAGCATTAGGTTGGTTCACTCGTCTGCGATTGCCCCACGATTCTAACACAACGTTGCTAGTATGTTTTCTTGGTCACCTCATGTTCTTCAAGACGTCTGGGCGTCCATGATGAATGATCAAATGTGGATGGAATCCTTCATGGAAAAGAAGACAGACCTCATGGTGGAAAACTACCGTGTGGCCACTTCCTTCTTTCGGGAGCACAACGTCAGCTACTTCGAAATGTAGGCAAACTTGAGAAAATGAATGTCGTATATGCTAACATTCTTCTAGGAACGCTGGGCTCTTCATCTGGGTTGATCTTCGCCACCTGTTCAACCCATTGACATTAGACGGAAATCTTAGAATTCAGTCTGAAGGTTTCATAGCTCATCAGCAGAGTGAGCTTGAAATAACAGATCTATGCGCTAGACACGGTGTCATGATTGCACCAGGCAGCGTTTACATGCCAGAGGAGTTTGGCTGGTTTAGAATGACCTTCAGTCTGGGGAAGGAAGCACTAGAAGAAGGATTGAAGCGGTTCGCCAAAGCTATTGCCGAGATGAGAATCTAAATCATAGATAGACATTAGCCTCAGAATATAAAGAAAAGCATTTTTTATCTTTTCACTGAGTGATGGAACTTACTTATTTGAGATGGGCGGGCTGTCACGTGGTGTGTTCTCAAGAGACCTCGGCTTCTTACGGCGCACTTACTCCGCACCTAAACTCTCTACGGCCTCTTAACAAGTCGCCGGCTTACATTTACTCCAAGAACTGCAAAATACCTCGCCTTCTTGCGTCTTGATGAGGCAACAATGGTCGACGGTACTCGCAGAACACCAGACGATCCAGCTTCAGTGAGTCCGAGTCGACCCGTTGTCAATCGCGTCAGAGTCGCCTGCAAAGCCTGCAATGCTAGACGGGTCAAATGTGACGCCGATCAGGGACAGCCATGCTGGCAATGCCGTTTGCGACAAATACCTTGCGAGCTTATCGAGTCCAAAAGGGGCAAGTAAGTTTTGATTGCTCAGTGTCGCGTTAAATAGTTTGTCTTACGATGAGTCAGATATGTTCGTAAGAGACGAGTTCATCCAGCCGCTCAGGCAGCCAGCGAGACTTCATCGCCCCATGTCGGACAGCAGCGTGCTACATCTAATACAGGAGAAACATGTGACCATGTCCATGGCGTTGAGGAAGCCGATGGGTCAAATGCATCATCTCATCAGGAGACACCACAAGGTGTCAACCAAGTCCTTTCGCCATTTGATTCTCGCGATGCACAAGGAATCCGGGCTTCACTGCCACAACAACCTCTACCAAACTCAAACGCAAATCATTCTGTGGATAAGTCCAGTCTATCTTATATTGTCGAAGTGGTTCACCGACCAAGAGACGGCTCAACAGAGCCCCTGAGAGTGCACTACCCCATTCCTGCATCGATTGTAGATCAAACGACGTCCAACTTTGGCCCCAAGACACCAGAGGATCCGATCTCTTTGCAAGCAGCTCTTGTTATGCCGCCCCCTGAAGTGGCAGATCAACTAGTCCGCACCTTCTTCGACACCACACACATTGCCTTCCCTGTCTTTGACCGACGGAAGTTCACGCGGTTGTATCTCCAAGGCCAGGCCTCCCCGCTTGTATTGCAGACGATCTTCCTTCTGGGTTTCATGGTCGGCAGCGATGACCTCATTCAAGCAGGAGGCTTCAATGACAGAGCCACAGCTAGGAAGACATATTATCTCCGCGCTAAGGCATTGTACGACGCCGATTACGATGCCGACCGAATGAATGTTGTTGCTTGCTTGCTTTTGATCGGCTTTTGGTGGGCTGGTTACGACGAGCAGAAGGATCATTGTCATTGGGTTGGCTGTGCGACGACCTTCGCGCAGTCGATGGGCATGCATCGCTCGTGAGATACCCGCTCCTGCTTTTGCATCAATCTCTGCTGACTCCGTACTAGGATGTCACAATCCACGTTCAGCCCTCATACAAAGTCTCTCAGGAAGAGAATTTGGTGGGCGATTTATGTAAGTATATGATTGCTCATATTGCCCTTCCGTGCTGACGAACTCAGGTCCGTGAACGGCATCTCTCTGCAGCGTTTGGTCGGCCATGTCGTATCCGTGACGAAGATTGTGACGTTGAGCCCCTGGATGAGGATGACTTCAACTTTGATCTGGACTACGACCAAAGACTTATTCCCACTCAACAAGAATATCACGTATCCTATGTTCTTGAGATGACAAGGTTGGCAGCAATACGTGAGTTGGCTACACAGTGAGACACAGTTTGCATTCATGCTGACGCCTCAATACAGTTGGCGACGTACTCATTTCGGAGTTTAGTCCTCGCCGTCCCACGACAGAGCAGTTCAAGACGCAAACTCTCAAAGAGAAACTTTTTGGATGGGAACGGAAACTACCAGAGAACCTTAGGATGTTGCCCCTGGACGGCACTCTCGGTGCCTCTTTTTGGGCCAGCATGCTGCATTTCAACTACCAGTGAGTGAACCCCACAAGAGATATTTATGCATCATATGCTGATGCAATACCCAGATACTGTCAAATACTTCTGTTTCGCCCGAAGTCCATCGAGATAGTCTCCCAGGAAGAGAAGGAACGGGACTCACGAGCACGCATGGCGGCAGACGCCATCACTCGCAATGCAGAAGATCAACTTTCTGCGGATACCATACAATATGCACAAATTCATCTGTAAGCACTTCGATTCCTCGGTGAGGGCTATGCTCACCCCTCTACAGAGTACCGGCTTTGTTTGGCGCCCTGTCCATGCATACCATCGAAATCTGCCGCAAGGACTCAATTCGCCGACAGCTAGCGGAGAACAAATCACGCCAGTGTCTTTTAGCCCTGGGAGAGTTATCAAAGTCCTGGCCAGTAAGGATCTGGATCTCGAAATCGTTCGTCAGTCTGATGACGAGATTGACTGGCCAAGACTCAGCCCCTTCTGGCGGTGCTATCGTCCGAGTCTCCTCCAGCATTGTGAGTACCTGTCTCAACGAATGCACCGGTACTAATGGTTACTTACATGATGCGTAGCACCCTGCCAGTCCAGGTGGTCATTCTCTTCACGAGGCTGTCAATGACAACCGATCTGCCTCCGGTGGCGGAGGTGGACACCAAGACACATCTCCAACGCTCAACGACGGCTCACAAACTCGGGACTTCGACCCTTACGAAATCACTGAAGCAAACCCTCATCTATTTTACGACAGCTTTTGGACCTCATACCTGGACAATGCCTTTGATGTGGACTTGCTCATTCATCCTAATTCGGGTCTTTTTTGAGCTGCAGGGCTTTAGGTATCATCGGCTCTCGTCTGCACGATGAGATTTATTAGATTATTCTGCTACTATTGATGCATAATATTGAACTTTCAGATGAAACGTTTTGCCTCCGTAAGGTATCCTGTGTCAAATGTGGTGTCCCAGGTTCAATATGCGCCACACTGTACTTCGCGTAACCGTGCTGGAATGCGCCCAGAATACTGAGTTGGTCGGTTGCAAATAATCACGTCAACCCTCCAGACATATACGGAGGTGGGTTGTAGTCCGAATCATCAGTAGACGACAATCGTCTCTTCCGCCTCGAGGTAGTCTCATATTCATCCGGCGATTCCAAACTGTAGGTAGGTCTTTGGGAAGCCTGCCGTTGCGGTTGCCTTCTTTTCAATCCGTTTCCCTCACTGTTAGATGATTCCGAGGAGTATGAAGAGCTGGAAGCCCTCACAGGTGCAAACCTCCTGGTCTCTTGCGGAGGGGCTCGTCGTATGTCCTTGGCAGATCGACTGCTTGTCCTTGATGCGTTGATTGGTTGAAATCCAGAGACCTCTGTAGATATCTGTGTATCGATAACTTCAGCTGGCGTTCTTCTCACATTATTTTGGGTTCCCGTGCCCGTTCGGATTTTCTTGAGTGGTGATGCAGTTGCAGCCTTCTCCGGATGCTGTGATATAAATCGTTCCAGCTTATCGTCAAATGCCGGTCCTTCACCTGCTGGTGACTGAGATCGCATCGGTCGTTTTCCTTTTGCTTTATCAGATAATTCCGTCGTAGGCAGCGGTTCACTTGGATGTGCAACAGTCGATGATGATTGGGTACGTGGCGGTTGAGTTGATGGCAGTGGCTGGGTCTGCGGAGATCGGTGTGGTGACAACTTAACCAAATGTGTTTGAGTCTGTGATGGAGGGTACACCGGTATTTTATCTTCTGATTTTGCTGGCAGCTTCGTGTCAGGTCGTGTTGGGTGACCCGTGGGAGATTGAAATGTGTCCGACCGGGTCAACGCCTTTTGCATCTCAACAGGATGATTGAATGCAGCAAGGGCCTGCCACAGCGCACGGTTTACCGCCATTGTGTCATCTGCAACCTCCTTGTTGTCGAGTAGTGACTTCAGAGAGAGGTAAAGTCTCGCCCCCAGACTATTATTTCGCATTGCCAGCGCCCAATGTAGCAGGTATGTGTAAAACACCTTGCACCAGTTGAGGGTGCAGCGGTTGACGGGAACCTCGGGATCGGTCACCAGAGCAGCGTATCCTTGCTTTGTTGTGAAAGTGAAGTCAAAGTCAATGGGGGTTGTCCCAGACACTCGCTCTTTGAATTCTCGGAAGAAGTCATCAATGCCGTCCGTTTCGTCGTATTCCAACACGAATTCAGCCATCAAGGGCACCCTCCACGGTCCCTCGAGGCTGTGGCTGTTTTCAAAGTCGACGAGATACAGGTTGCCATACCAGGCATCGTCGGTCGTCGTATACAGGCGCGACTCTAGCGGCCCATAGGCGACAGTCTCCAGATGGTGCAAAATGCTGCGGCCAACTTCTCCAGGATTTGTAAAGAGCCGTTCGAGGCTGATCCAGTCAACAAACGGCTTTACAGACGCGTCGGACGTTCTCGGACTATTGATCCATTTGTACTCATTATCGGGGTTCCACGAAACATTTGATCCTATGATAAGTTTATTAGCGAACAAACAGGTGAGAGAAGGGCTGCAGAATCCATTACCAGTCAGGCGCCGCAAGAATCGTAGGAGAAAATGCAAGACGTAGTCCCATGAACTCGGCAGAGCGGCCATATTCGAAGACTTGTAATTTGCGCGCAGTGCTCGTCGGATCTCTGCGTTGATGGCCTTCATATCTTCCTCACAGCGACATATCTCCATGTCCCAGTAGAAGAAGAGGAACGCTTCCTTCCAGTTGGTCCTCTTTGGACCAAATGCATCTCCATACTCTCGGTGATCTGAAACTTGGGTTGGGTGGGCAAAAGGCGGGCTGTGAGTCGGACTGCTTGCTCCGAGTGACACACTACGGGACATGTCTATCTCCTTCTATCAATATTATATCAGCAAGTCTTACGACAGTCATAGTAGCTGCTCTTTTGTTTTTTCGTACCGATGGCACTCAAGGTTCTCAACTTTCCTCGCAGACCAGATTGACTTCCCAGGCGACGCCACGGCGTCCAGTTTCGAGCTGCTTCGATAGACACGTTGCTTTGACTTCTCCACAGTTTGACAGGACAAGATCTGTAAAATATTCATGATTCTAAGGATTGATCAGCTTTAAATCTCAGGACTGTACTGTTTGATAGGGGTCTTCTGTTTGTTATTTCGGGGTGTCTTAAAACAAAGAACTGAATGGGCTGCATTTGACCGTGCCTACCCTTCGAAACCACACAATCCTGCTGAGCCGTGCAAACAGGTACGAGCACTGACATAAAACACGTCATTTCGCACCGTGGGTCGTACAAGAGTTAAAATTACACCAACCTTCCTTTGATGTATTAAATTGGAAGTCTGAAAACATCTAGAATCGTCTACAGCCCATGTACGGTGTGACACCAATTCCCTTTGTTTGCTTAGGTAGAGTAGTTAATAGCTTTCTAGAATTATAGAATAATGAAAGATTAAGCAGCATGTTTGCCCCTACTTTATGTGTTTGCTATGTAACTATGGAGCAGTATGTCTGTTGTTAAGACTTTAGCAACTTTGCTCCCTGGGTGGATACATCTAGCTATCCAGTTAGATGCTAACGACAGCAGGGATAATGGAAGTTACACAAGTCATAATGATAATAGGGACAACAATAGAGACAATTGCAGGAACAACAATAGGGACAATCACAGGGATGACAATAGGTATAATTAGAATAATAAAGAACATAAAGGCTAACGTATTACGCCGCTCCCTAAGCTAGAAACGTCTGGCTACCATTTACAGCAGAACACCTATGCTCTCAGGAGCTCTCAGATAACATATAATTAGAAGTTACTTATAAAACTTAGAGGCAGGTAGTACAGATTACGCAGACCTCGGAAATTCGTTTCAGAACTTTGCCACTGTGTTGTTATATGGTACGTTACATCTATGCTGCCTTGACTAGCATTAACAACCCTTTTCATTCCCCGGCTTCATAACATCAAGAACTCATCTCGAAATCTCTATCAGCATGAGGACATAGGCCCTTAGGGTTGTTATCGGCGTGGTGTGTGTCAGAGTTGGAGATTCAGATCCCTTGTCTGCCATAGACCATGCACGGCGTTGAAAGACAACTGAGACTAGCAACTTAGCATGGACCATCCTCGAACGTTTTAGTCAATCCAAGAAGTTGCGAGAAGGAAACTTCCATCTGCACGGAATTTTCTCAACGACAGGAGAGCATGAGTGCCTGGGCTCCAGGTTCTGTATATCTTTGCTCCTGATCATCCTTCTTCAATAACACAGGTCAGCACTTCATTTGCATGAGTCCACACCTCCGCAAGAACGACAGACACTCCATCCACGACCCGACTATGCACGACTCACGCTTCGCGCCGGAGCAGTCCAAACCACCGCAGGGCCTAGTGTTCAAGGCCTTGTTCATCACCACTCTCGTCGCTCTCCTCATCGTTATATTACTGATGTATTTCATTGATCATTTAAGCCGGCGATGCGTCTGGGTTCGCCGTCGTTTGGAAAGGTTTTGCGACTCGGAGTGCGAGCACTGGGGCAACAAACTCCCTCTTGGTCGAAGCGACGCCTTCTCTTTCCTCTTCCATGACTTTCTTACCATGTCAACAGAGTCAAAGAAGATATTGTTAGACATTCTCCGAGCTGCTGAGCTGGAGCAGGAGGGCTTTCATGGTGGCATGTTCCCTGACGAGTGGTTGGAGTTCCTCCCTTGGCGCATTGTGCAGGCTTTACATCCTGCTGTCTGTAAGTTGAAGCCCGATCACAGCACCGTGGTGCGTTGGTTTGACTGATCAAATGCCTATCCATACAGCCATGAGCTTGTCGAACCTACCTGCCAACAACAGTGGTGACCAAGGCCCAGAGGTCATCTACGGCAGCAAGGCATGGTTCCAGACCCCGCATGATGGCCGAATCTTGCCAAAGATCGTTCATCACCCAGACATTGTCACAACCACGGGAGTGTTGCGCAACTCACGACGGCTCAAGAATGACGACGCTTGCCTCGACAACATACTCACCGCACTAATGGAGCCCCTCATCCGGGACATGAGAGCGGCTCATCGAGTCACGCCCACAGAGGACTTGACCTTCTCCTGGGAATTCATGTTCGCAATTCGATGGGCCTGGACCGACAACCCCTACCTCGTGGACTTCCAAACCTGTCACGAGGTGCCCATCTGGGGTGTGCCTGTGCCGAAACGCTTGTTGGCCGCCGGCACGAACACGGGTGCGGGTCCATGTCGGCGGGTGTTCAAACCCCACTTCGGCTTTGTGGGGTTCTGGGCGGGCGCTTTCCAGATCGCCGTAGATTCCGCGGCGAGAGCGGCGCGAGTCGAGCTAGACGAGGACTTGGACATGCCGGCGCCGAAGGATTTGGAGAAGGTGATCAACGGGTTTCGGATGTTGCACACGACTCTCCTCTCCAATTTCGCAGGCGCGTTTGATGAAAACTTCGATGCGGCTGTGTCACTGGAGGAAGTTGTACATCAGGCTTTTCACGACGCCGTGACGAGTGAATATACTCATGAAATGGATCGAGAGATCGAGGAGCATTGGAGGGCACTCGCGAAGTGGCGGCCTTCGGGTTTTGGGTCTCCAATATCTTACTGACAGAGATGATTCGTGATTGTCAGAGTTGGGTCCGTAGCATAGATAGCAAGACGTTCAGAGCCTGAAGTTGGTTCTCTTTCTGTTCGGAATGATTATTGAACGACGCTCGCCAGAAAATTATCGTGCCCCATCGCAGCGCGGCGCTTATCGGCCTGCCGTTGGTGATCGACCAGGGGGCCAAGGGAGGTCAAGCTCCGAACATCGACCCTTGGCATAACGGGTCCGTGGCGATCTCTTCGGCCAACGTCCATGGCTATCGCGATTCGCGAATCGCAGGATGCAGCAGCGCAGCGCTTGCCTGCAGCACACGCACTGGTTGACTGGGAAGAAATTTTCACCGCCCCTCGTGACTGCGAACAATCGTCGTCGGCGTTATCACGGCGGCATTCGCCTTTATTTTTTCGACGCCACGGATTGCCTCTTTCTGCCTCCCCGTGGGATGCGCAAGCGGCATGGACGTGTGATTGGTCGTGGAGACGGATTAGGAAGGGGGAAAATACGTTCAACCTCCGCACGTGGAGTTCTCCAGGTGCAGAGGAGGAAACGAACGAGTGGATGTGTGGTGGTACGTCATTACATAATCCTCCACATCGAGGTTGAGAAATTCAGGGCTTTGGGAGCGCTTCATTGGCCATCTTCATGCGTATCTGATCTTGCGGCTGGCGCAATCTCGAGATTGAACAGAGGGGCGAGTAACGTTGGATTGAACGACAGACGGCCGTATCGTACGAGACCTCCACAGCGGTGGGATGCCGACGGGTAAACGCCGATGAAGAAAGCACCCTTTGTGGCCGGAGACTCCTGTGCGGCGTTCACGTGAGGATCTTGCAGATGGAGGCTCCGAAGAAGTGGGGAGGGGGGCGGTAGACTTCATGAGCTGGTGGTGCTGTGCGTTCTTCGTTTCATCGACAGTCGGGCCGTCAAGGGAGGATTCGGATGGCCAACCTGTGTGGTGATGCGGCTGGATGGGCTTGGCTTTCCAGGTTCTGGTTCTACTATGTAGATGGGACGAGGGGGGGGCGTTGGATGGAGGGCTGCGGCTGCGGCTGCGGGAGTGGCTGGCTGTTGATCGACCTCGATGTCCTGGCACACCCTGAGCGATTGTTTCTCTGCAGACAAATGCTTGAGCACATGGTTGCTGAGTCAGAACAATTTCACAAGAGGAAATCCCATCTCACACGCTGTCGGGATTTTAGCTACCGTCAGACAGAGACTTCTGTCGTTGCGGGGAGAAGTTGGGGATGGGATGGAGAGCGAAGAATAGGTACTCACTAACCACAGTTCGGACTCCCCGGACGAAGGACGTCATAGTCAGAGCCGTTCGCGCTCCGCATGCCGCCTTGCCCTGTTCGGCAGTCCGACTGACTGGATGATGAAAAAGAATATGGAGACTGCAGGACCTTTTGGTGTTTGTAACCTAGGTACCTTAGCGGGCTGGCCAGGCGGCGGGAGGTGGGAATAAGCAAGACAAAAGGTTTACGGCCATGGCTCGTCATCGCCCTCGTCCAGGGAACGCACAAGGACCCGCTTCCCTGTCGCGACCAATGGCATGCGCCGGAAGCGGTGCCAGGCACGGCGGACTGCTAAGCCGCCACTAGAGCCGCCTCCCTACGCCCTCCTGGAAACAAGCTTTGCAGGCCGCTTTGCCAAGCTGGCTGCCGCTCTGCCGCAACTTGGCAAAGCCGCGACAGGGCGAGAGACACCACAATGGAACATCACACAGGCCACGCATTTTATATCCGGCCAACGCTTTTTTGCGGCTGTCAACGTCAACGATGGAATGACAGCAACGCAGAGGCAGCGCGATCACGCACTAGAGCAGCGCGTGTGTCTCATCCTCCGCAATCGCTCTGACCCTCCTCCGGACTTGCTCCTCGCATCCACCGCCTGTGGACCACGCTGATTTTATTCCCAGACAAATGGGCGGCCAGTCGAACGTTCGGGCGAGGACGAACGGCACTAGTTGCTTTACCTCAACCCGCGCTGCATCTCAAGTGGGACGTGCTGCGCTAGAGGTT